TGTAGGGGAAAAAGGTTTGCTTAATAGGTAATCAAAAGCTAACATATCAGAAAATCCTCTAAAACGGCAGTTCAGTGTAGCAAATGGACTCCAAGTCAGACTATATGGATCCAAGTCCTGGCTCCTGCAAAATGAAGTAATTATAGAACCCATCTCATAAGATTATTGTGACAAATTAAATATGTGTAAAACAGTACCAGGAATATAGAAAGTGCTGTGTAAGTATTAGCTGGGATTGTGATTAAATGTAGAGAAGGATCCTAGAGACTGAGGTAGATAAATATTGATTAGTAATGGAACATTATTGCTAAAGTCTAGCTTTGTAAATTTAGTTCAGTAGAAGCCGTTTCTCTGACTAGTACTCTGTTATTATGGGAATCCTTAAAGAACTTTATTTGTGGTACACTGTGACTAAGTTTTGTACTACTAGATGATTAACCCTTTCAACATCAGGCAAATAAAACTGCCTTCTGAAAGTAAAAATCATATTTCTTACCAAAAAAAGCAAAAAGTCAGTAGAAACAAAGACGCCAAAGACCACAACCTGAACATATGCTTAGCAGGGAAAGATGCTTGCTGACTCTTCACAGATTTTGCTAGAACTGAAAGATAGATGATACATTTAGCTACCATTGTGGTCTCATTTGCAGCTTATTTAACTTATAAAAAAACAACCCTGTTCCATTTTCCTTGAAAATCACCTAAATGTATCAGCTCTGATAAATACTATTTAAAAACCATGTAACTGTTCATATCTTTCAAATGCTGTACCATTAAAATATTTTTGTAAAGCTACATGTAAACTTTTCTTTTCAGACAAGAAAGTCTGGGCAAAATATTCCTATATAAAAATAAATAAAATATAAGACACATTATAATACAATATAATATAATAAATATTATCACTTTCAATAAAATATTTAAAGACTATTTGACTTGATTCTGGCCTATATTTAATAGGCCAGAATATTTTTGAGTCTTAAACAACTTTTCATTTTCTCATGGATATATACCATGCATAAGAACTGTGCTAAATCTTGGATTGCTTGAGATTATATGATTTTTTCCTGAGCTTCCTCTTGATTAAAAATAAGCAGCAAAAAGTTAGAAAAATGTTAAAAACATTTTAAGTTTTTATTTGTTTTGTGTTTTTATCTGTATTGTTGAAAGTATTACAGATGTCCCTCCTTTTTCCTTATAGACCTCTCTCCCTCCCTGCTCCCGACCCCCCTCTGCACCACACTATTGTCTGCATCCATTGGTTATGAATATAAGTTTTCATTTGTTTTTAAAGGTGTGTTAGACTATCAAAAATTGTGTTCTAAATACATAGCACAAAATAATTTTAATTTCATATGCATTATTTGGTCATTTCTAAATACTCAGAACTCCTTCCTCTTCTATACTAAGATAGCATGGGTATAACATAATGTTCTTACCTTTATGCATTTATTTTTAATACAACTGACCTAAGAAGTTACACACTCTAATAAGTAAAAATGCCTCCAAAAGAAAGAATATGAAAGGGGGAAAAAAAACCTTTTTTCTATTCTATTCAATATATAGATGCTTATCAGCATACAAACACATAAGTTCCCAAAAAGTCAAGTATGCACTGGTTGACTGAGCATAGCAACCCATTTTACTTTTCTTTGTTTGTTTTAATCTGGTGCCCATTAATTTACAAAGTATTTTCAGAGTCCCCATCTCCTAGTACCTTCACAAATAACTCAGGTAACACAGGTATTAGAAGCAGTACCATTTACTAGATAAGAAACTGGAGCTTTAGGAAGGCAAGAGCCTTGTGCAGAGTCACTAATACAGAAACAAAACTGAGCCTACAACCCTGCTCTTTCTACTTACACTTCTAGAATGAACTTCTTAGTTGAAAACCTGTTGTCTAAAAGCCATATGGGCAAACCTAACTGGGCTACTATAATGATGAAATCCCTCTATCAATGACAAAAAAAAATAACTGTAGTGAAAATTTCAAAAGCCAAAAAAAAAAAAAAAAAAAAAGCAAATTAGAAATTGAATGAAGACTGTTGTGAAACCTCAGGTCTGAGGAAATAACTGTGCTGCCTATTTCTTATATAACAGTTCTAATTATAAAGAACTTAAGTATAATTCTTCTCCTTTATGTGAAGATTTAGGGGGGGGTACAAAGAAAGACTAGTTTCAGGATACATGTTTTAACTAGACACCAGATTTGGATATTGGATGACTTGAGAAACCCATCTGTCTTTTTCTATAATCAGGCAGTGCTTATTTTTGCTAATATTTGCTTGTAAAAGTAAATGGTACTGTGTTGTTTAATGATTCCACCATTTATAATAGTGTTCCATAAGTTTGAACATGTTAGAGAAATTCATTATTGCTTCTCTGTAAAATCCTTTAAAATAAGGTAAGTCTCAATTTTATACATTATTTTCTAATATAATTTGCCTGAGAAGACATAATAAAATCTATACTGTGATGAAGAACTTTAGGTTTAGCATCTGTAATACTTTCAACCATAAAGATAAATTTAAAAAAACTTCAGGTTTAGAACTTAACTCAGTTGTTTAATAACTAAGTATTTATCATGACCATTACCAATTTGATCTGCATTAATGCAATAAACTTAACCATTCACATTTCATTAATTTAAAACACTTTGTCCCTCATACGGAGCAGAATTTTGACTGATATCACCTAAGGCAACAGAAATAAAGGAGAAAATGAACACATGGGACTACATCAAACTAAAAAGCTTCTGCACAGCAAAAGAAACAATCATCAAAATGGAAAGGCAACCCACTGTATGGGAGAACATCATTGCCAATGATGTATCAGATAAGGGGTTAATTTCCAATATATATAGAGTGCTCATACAACTCCACAAAAGGAAGACAAAGAACCCAATTAAAAAATGGGCAGAGGAGCTGAATAGACACCTCTCCAAACAGGACATACAAATGGCCAAGAGACATATGAAGAAATGCTCAACATCACTACTCATCAGAGAGATGCAAATTAAAACAATGAGGTATCACGTCACACCTGTCAGAATGGCCGCCATCAACAAATCATCAAACAACAAGTGTTGGCGAGGGTGTGGAGAAAAGGGGACTCTAATACACTGCTGGTGGGAATGCAGACTGGTGCAGCCGCTATGGAAAACAATATGGTGCTACCTCAAAAAATTAAAAATTGAACTTCCATTTGACCCAGTGATCCCACTGCTGGGAATATACCCTAAGAAGCCTGAAACACCAATCAGGAAGAATATATGTACCCCCATGTTCATAGCAGCACTATTTACAATAGCTAAGATCTGGAAACAGCCCAAGTGCCCACCAGTAGACGAATGGATCAAAAAGCTGTGGTACATATACACAATGGAGTACTATGCAGCGGTAAGAAAGAAAGATCTCTTATCCTTTGAGACGACATGGAGGGATCTGGAAAATATTATCCTAAGTGAAACAAGCCAAGCAGAAAAAGACAAATACCACATGATCTCACTTATATACGGAATATAATGAACATAACAGTCTGAGGAATACAGTAGACCCAGACACATGGAAGTAGGACACAGACTGACATCCCTCAGAAGAGGGGATGGGGGGTGGGGGGGTGGGAAGAGATAAACCACAGAACTTATATGCATGTATGCATGACCAATGGACATGGACAACTAAGCCGGGGACAGGGTGGAAGGGGGGGGGATGGGGGGTGCCAATGGGGTAAAAAGGTAAAATATCTGTAACAAAAAAATAAATAAAAATTCATAAAATAAAAAAAAATAAAAATAAAAAATAAAAAAAATAAAAAATAAAACACTTTGTCCCAATAGTTCCACATTAATGTTACCTATATACACATATTTGTGTATATTTATGCATTTATGTCATTGTGTATAAGCTATCCTACTTTAGCAAAAACAGTGAATGATGATTCATGACATCTTAATGAAGTGAAAGAAATGAATAAAGTTTTTAACATATGCAAGGAATGAATTGCAATTGTGAGAGTGACAGCACGATCAGTACAATGCAGAACAATGAAATCCTAATATCAGGACAGAAAGTAAAGAAATATATGAAAAATAGCATAAATCCATATACTGTAAGAATGTCATGCTATTCCTGAAAATGTGCCCAGTCTTTATTTCCTTGTTTCTCAGAGTTATAGAACAGTGTAATTTTAGAATTAAAAAAAAATTAGCTTTCTAATTCTGGGTCTTGCTTGTACTGACATTAGTTTTTGCCTTCTTTTCATATTAGAAACTCTCAAAACTACAATTTATTTAAAGTATGTGTATGTGCTTAGTAAAAAACAAAAACAAAGAATAAGAAATAAACTCATTATTCAACTGAACACAGTAAAGATCCGTATGTATTTCCTAAATGTTATTTTTTTACTTATTTTTTACTGACTTATTTAATCCTCACCTGAGGATATGTTTTTATTGATTTTAAAGAGAGAGGAAGGGAGAAGGGAAGAGAGAGACAAAGAGAGACATTAATGTGAGAGAGAAACAATAATCGGCTGCCTCCTGTACCATGACTGGGGACTGAACCTGCAACCTGGGTACGTGCCCTGACCGGGAACTGATCCTATGACCTCTCAGTATATGGGACGATGCTCAACCAACTGAACCAGAGTGGCCAATGCTACCATTTAAATTTAGTTAACATTCCCAAATAATTTTTAGGTGCATTTTGTGTATTTAAATTGATTTATGAAGAAAGTGATGACTCCCTTTCTGTGATTCCAAAATAAGGGCACAACTATTACATGTACTTTTGCTGATATCTAAACTCCAGAATAATATTGCTTATGGACAAAATGTTATAATAATAACATAATCTATGTATCTGTTTGGCTCTTACAATATATTCAAGAGAGCTTTGTTAATATAAAAAAATGACAGTTTTCAGAGTTCATGATTCCTGATTCAGTCTAAAGGTAAAGGTTACTCTAAATATTCTTTACTTTTCAAGTAGTGGACTTACCATGGAAATCATAAATATACAGAAGAATTGGTTCATTCTGTCCAAATGCACAAAATGCAACCATATTTTCAAGTGGATGATAAGAAATGTCTCGAATGGGTGACTTGAATGGCAAGTCAGAATACATTGCTACTTGTTCTCCTAAACAAAAAAAGACAGTCAATAATTTCTATTGTTATTTCTCATTACAAGATTATTCTGCAACATATCAAAAGGATTTACCGAAAGTAATGATGAAGCTCACATTATTTACATGAAAACTTTAAATAATTATAAATATTTGAGAACTGTATTAATTAACTTTATTTTTCATTCTGTTGCCCCTCCTTCTTTCTACTTCTCAATACACTCTTCAATGAGGTTTTCAAGGCACAAAACAAAGACAGAGTTTAGAGACAGAGAGGTACGTGACTCTGAGATTTGACAGGGTTGAGCAAATGCCAGTTATCAAAGAACTTCACAGAGAACAAGGGAGGAACTGCTTGACTCTAAAACTGAAGAGTCAATTAAAACTCTCTGGTTGGGGAAGGCTTGGTGGGGAATTAATTTTTCCTCAGAGGCTGTTTGTGGTACCATCTGCTTTAAAAATACATATGATTACTAATGGCTAAAAGAAGTCCATAGTAGAAGTCTAAGAAACCTATCAAAAGCAGAACTCAAAAAGCAAAAACTCCAGATCCATTTATTTAAAGAGAAAAGAGATTTAACATTTTTGAATCGATGCAGTGAGAGAAAAAACAAAACAAAACCTAAGTGAGCTGACTAGTAAAAAATGCCTAAAGGAAAGACCAAGAAAATAAACAAGGGATAATTAAATGCTGCTCGTAAGAAATTACATAATGAATTTTATAAAATTCTCTCAATTTATTGCTTAAAATGTTTATGTAGTTTTAGCTTTTTTTTTTAAAGCTAAGGTAAGACCCAAATGAACTTCCCAATGTAATAGTTTATTTTATTGGAAAAGAACTGAATTATAGTAGTTCAGGCAGACTGCTATTGAGTTTGACACATCAAAAACGTTGACAAAAATGTTTCTAGTAAATATATATTGTAGGTGTTTTACCACTTCTATATCTACTTATATTCCAAATTCAGCTTGTAACATTTGTATTGTACATTACAGTCCTCATTAATTACTTTTCTAAGATCCACAATATCTCATTACAGACAAGGAAAAAATAAACCTTAAATTACAATGTGGAATTCAAAATCCATGAATATATCAAAACAGTAAGAACAGAATTTAATATAAATTTAGACTGCAGCTGATTCACATTATCAGCATTCCAATTCTGAAAAACATAACAGAACTTGCAATCAGAATTCCCTTGAAAATTATTCCATAAAATGGTAGTTTTCACATTGCTTAAAATTTTTTTTTGACAGTTAATGAAATATTTACCCGTCTCTGGGTTCCAAACATACGCTGCACCATCCTCACTTCCAGCAAAGAGAAAAGTCCCACACGGTGTCAAAGTACTATGAATCTTCTCCCGATAATTTGCTGCCCCTACAAATTTCCTTGCTGCTAATCTATGAACAAAAAAGATTTTACAAATGTAAAATCTATGTGGTAAAAACTTTTAAATATTGGAGGTAAAAACTTTTAAATACTTCATTTGCATTTAACAAACAATTTTTGAAAATTAAGTGGGAACATTGTACAGTGGATGCAGAATAAAGAAGAGAGAGTGTCAGAGCTCAGGGGGATTAGAAGTATTGGGGCGGGGGGGGGGGGAATGCATCAATGTAAAACAGTAAATGGGTGTAGAAAGTGCCACCAGAGAAGAAAAGAATAGTCCTGTGCAGATTTGGGTAAGAAAAATTTTTTCTAGCCATGAAGAGAGACTACTTTATGGAAGTAGCATTTGAGTTGGTTACTAAAAAAGGAACAGAATTTCATCCTGGCCGGTTTGGCTCAGTGGTTAGAACGTCAGCCTGCAGTTTCCAGAGACCCGGGTTCGGTTCCCTCTAGGGGCATATACCTCGGTTGTGGTTTATACCCCCAGACCTGGTTGGGTTGCGTGGGTGGCAGCCACTTGATGTGTCCCCTTCATGTCAATGTTTCTCTCTCTCTTTCTCTCTCTCCCTCCCATTTGGCTGAACAAAAAATGGAGGAGTGTCCTTGGGTGAGGATACAAAAAAAAAGGCACAGAATTTTAATATTTTTCCATGTGATGAATTTTTAAAATCACACTTGATCTTTGCAGAAATGTTAGAACATATTATTAAATCATCTATTAAATATGCTATACAGCTTCTAAGCTTTATTGCTTATGAAAAATAAATTACACTGTTTTAATGTTTACTATGTGCCAGTTAGGTAATATTATCATCCACGGTTTACAGAGAGGATGTTATATACACTGCTCTGTTATCTGCTTTTTTCAGTCAGCAAAAACAAAAACAAACAAAAAAACACAAGTAATGGCCCTCCATGTCAGAATATATAGACTATGCGTTATCATTTTAATATGGATATGTTATATCATTGTCTAAGTATATCTTAAAAAATTTTCTACTGTTGGACAACACATGATGTTTCCAGCTTTCCCCCACCACGAACGTGATTTCTATGAACAATCTTGTATATATACATATATTTTCTGTACTGTTTATTTATTTTTATTAAATTTATTGGAGTGGCACTAGTTAATAACATTATGAGTTCCAAGTGTACAATTCTATAACAAATCATCTGTACATTCCATTGTGCGCTCACTTGCCAAAGTCTAGTCACCATATATTTGACCTCCTTTTCATCCCCTACCTTCTTCCTCTCTGGTAACCTTTATACTATTGTCTACTTTTTTGCACTGTTTTATATTATCTTAATGTAAATTCTCAGACCTGAGGTTACAGAGTTAAACAGTTCTGCAGTCCTTGCCCTAATCTTAAGTACTTTATATGTATAAACTAGTTTATTCCCCTCAAACCCATATATATATTTCTCTTATCTGAGTGATGCGAAAAGAGAGGTACAGAGGTAAATCAGCTAGTAAGGGATGGAAAAGACCATATTTAATTCTAAGCAGTTTGCCTCTAGAGACTAAGCATGATCTTAAGCTGAAAACTATATTGCTTAAGAATAACAAAATCATACAGACTAACTCCCTCTGCCTAGAATACAACTTATATTATCCCACCTCTGAATTTTGTTCCAGGCTTTTCATGTTTTCCACCCTACTGAATATACTTCCATCTTCTCTAAAGTCTACCCATTCTTCAAGATTGAGCTCAAAGGACAGCCTCTCTGTAGAGCTTTTAACAGAAAGACTATATTATAGCTATCACCTTTGTTGCCATGAAAAATATAATCCTTATATTATATATTTGTATTTATTAAAAATACATACTGAGTACTTGCTGTCTGCCAGGCATAGCATGAGTGCTATGTATAGAAAAAAGAATAAGCAGATTCTAATTCTAGAAGATCTCACAGTTTAACCTAATTAAATGTTGTGCGTGTCATTTTGGAGGCAGTACACCTGGTTATAAACTCCTGATGAGCTACTTCTGCTTATCATGCTCCCATAGCACCAATGCCAGTGTCTTGAACAGATGTACGTAAATATTTAAGGGCTTAATGGTTAGTCCTAAAAAGAGAACAACAATAATGAAATCTAGTAACAGAGCTTCCTCTCATTTGTTTTACTGGCATTTAACACCAAAACAAAAGCACATCAGAAGTTCATGCTAAATTTCCCAGAACTCTACTTCTGCCTTTTAAATTCAAGGTATTTTCCTTCATTGGCCTTATTCAGAAATAAAACAAACCAACAAAACAAACAAGGATAAATTATTCAAAAGCCCTCTCCTTCAGTTATGACACTGTGTCATAATACTACGCTCTACCAGTATCACAGAGGTAAAGGATATTCCATGACAGAAGTTTCTTTAAATTGTGAAAATAAAAAGCAACTGAATGCATTTCGGCCTCAAAACTATTCACATTTTGGGCAAGATAACTCTTTGTTGTTGGGGGCTGCCTTATGAACTATAGGATGCTTAGCAGTATTTCTGGTCTCTGTCCACAAGATATAGAAGCAACATTAAAAAATGTTTCCAGACACTGCCAGATGTCCCTTGAGGGATAAAATTATCTAGCTGAGAGCCACAGGTGCATTTTATAAATATGAATTAATTTGGTATTTATTCTATAAATGCTTAACCATCAATAGTGAAATATACTTACATTCGAAGATCCATAATTCTCAAAGTACTGTCTTTAGTATGGATTAACAAACGTTTTCCATTGGGATGAACCTCCAAGTAACTTACTGGAATACCCTTAAACTCACTCTCTTTAATTTCCTAAAATGATTAAAAAAAAGATTATATTTATTACCATTGTAAAGTTTGTCTAATGGTAAGCCCTATTTAGAGTACAAAACTAGAAAATTAATTGTAAGTTATTTTCAACTGTACCATACAGGATGCTTTAAAATTGTTTAAAATGATCCCCAGTAATTTCAGTTTAAGGTTGAAAATGTGGATGAAATGTATTTTTGGTTGTTACCTAATATCACATCAGTATGTGTCTTTGTAGTATATTCCCAAACAAGAAGCACTTCCTACAAATACATCTTCTAACATTGCATTTTCTTTTTATCATTATGTAAGAAAGCTTCCATTTTTTATAAATTCAAAGTGCAAAATTAACTTTCAAATTCTGTTTCAGTCTCAGATTATTTTTTCATATACTTACTTCCACTTGTCCTGAAAAAGGTACATCAGCAGCAGAATATTCTGAAATCATTTAATTGACATTGTAATTTTAGGTGGGCTATTTTTTCATAGGTATGAAGCTACAGAATATGACTGATTAATGGTGTCAGGAAATACATAAACACTGATGGAGAATCTGCCTGAACAAGACTTGCATTAATTAGAATAATTACCAAAGGTCCTTCTTGTTTGCATTACCAGGAGAAAGAAAAAAATTACAAATGCAAAACTGCTTAAAGTACGCAGAGTCAAAGAGAAGTCTGCTTTAACCTGCAAGCAGAATGACAAATGATCCTTCTTCTCCCTCAAGGACCCAGTATTATTTTCTGCCTCTTTCTCCTAGAGGGTATCCTCTTCAGAGGTGGGTTAACATCAACAGAGGTGGGTACAAACTGCTACAACCTTAGTATCAGCAGTTGAGCCTCTGCTACTGCTGTTTGACACTAAGGCCAGCTGTCAGGTATTTTTTAAAGTGACAGAAAAAGGTCAAACACTGACACCACAGACAGGGATTTTACTGAGCTGAAGAACAACTATTTGAGGGTGGAGATGCACTGCTGGGGTTTCAGCAACCAGAGCCAACACTTACACAAGGCCAATGTGCAAAATACAAAGACAACTGTGTAACAAGTGTTAAATGTAAATCTGAGGAAGGTGCTGGCAGACTTAGTGTTTGTAGTTCCTGTTAATTAGTTCCTCCATATTTTTATCATATTCATGCTTAAACTAGAAAAGCCCTAATTTTGTATTAAGGCAGCACATGGACACTTCTTCTTGAAGGACAGATAGTACAGTTTAGCATTCCCACAAGGCTGGCTGAAGAGAACAACAACAACAAAACTTTTTATTTTTGACTCTCTCAAGTAACCACACCAGGCTGCAAGGTAAATCTGCCTTTTGGTTAATATACTGAGGTAAAGAAACACATGCTTTTAAACACAAATAATAGACTCTGCATTGTAGACTCTGATGACTGGAACTGGTACCTTTGGGGCCTTGCCAATCCCTCAGGTATATAAGTAATTAGAATTCTTTTCAAAGTGTATGAAATTCAGCTACAACTTTGAATCCCATGCCATCATTCATTAACCTGATACACACAAGAGAATGACTAAAAATAGAATAGACTGTTTCTTAAACAGAGCCGATAGACTCAATAGATTTAACTAAAGTTCAAAAAAATTCTTTTACATTAACAGTGTCTTTTTTTTCACACAAGGACAATTGTTATAACCTATTATGAGGAATAATACATTGAAATATAAGTTACTATTTACAGATGATAATATAACATAACATATACCTCATTTAAGCATACATTTCAGTAATGGATCTCTGAATGCCATAGAGCTCAAGGCTAAAATGAAGAAAATTTTCATTACTATATCATCAGTTGGCCATCGAAAAGACGTGATCATTAATCAATGATAACAGAGTTTTCAGGGACTGAGAAAAACCTCCTTTTTTGAAAGGAGAACAGAACGTCCTGATGTGTTATTTTAAGGCAACATAGTTCAATGCTTTCCCCAATTTTTTAAATTAAATCTCAAAATATGAAATATGGTTTTATACCTTATTTACACTCCAGTGGCGCACCGAATGCTGCACATCACTAACTTTGACATAGGTATTCCAAACAACAATCACCCCCATGCAGTCTCCCGAATACATATGATGACCTATTCAAAAAATAAAATACTCACTGATTAATGTTCTACAGAGGGGTAGAAAGAAATAGTATGAAACTGGGAAAACACATTTCGGTAAGACAGTCAAAGAATCCTAGGGCTATTAAAAGGTATTTCAGTTTAAAAAGCCAAAAAAACAAATACAACTAACCCTTAAATTCCAATGCTTTTTAAATGAATTTTTCGCTTGAATTTTTTCTGATTACTTATTTCTCTTTGGACTTCCCGGATTTTAATACAAAAAGAACTAAGCATCACAGTGCATATGTATATGGCTCAACTTATATAATCTGTTTTATATGCCTGGAAAAACACCAATATTCTAATACATACTGTTAGCATAATGCCTGAGACCCAACAGGAACTCAATGATCAGGGAATTATTAAATAATAAATAACAAGTGTTCCAGTTTACTGCTAATTCTTTTTTTAAATTTTTATTTATTGATTTTAGAGGGAGAAGTGGAGAGAGGTAGACAGGGAGAAGGAGAGAGAGGGAAAGAGAGGGAGGGAGAGGGAGACAGGGCGCGAGATCCGTTGTTCCACTTATTAATGCATTCACTGGTTGATTCTTGCATGTGCTCTGACAGGGATCAAACTCACAAACTTGGTGTACCAAGACAACGTTCTAACCAACTGAGCAACCTGGGCAGGGCAGCATTAATTCTTAAAGTCAACCCATCTTAAAGATGAATGGGAACCTTAGAGACCATCAAGTTCAACTTAACACCCACTCAGGAATATTGTATATACCATTACGAACAGATGATCATTCAGAAACTTTGAATTTTGTATTTCAAAAAGTAGCTTATTCAAATGATAAACTGCTCTATGTATTAGGATGTTTTTTCCAATTCTGAGCAAAGTAAATCTGTCTTCTATATAGCTTTGGCCCCATCTTTATCTACTGAAGCAATACAACTTAGCCAAATAATGAAGAAATTCTTCATCTCTCTGTTATCATCTGAGCTACTTCTCAGTTTTCAGATGCCCTTCTACCATTGGTTGACCTTTCCTGAATGTGTTCCAATATGTTAAGATCCTTAGAGTTGAACAGTGTACATTAGCAGTATAATTTTAATCTGGATCCCATATTAATTAATTATAGCTACAGTCTACATATATAGTATCTGAAATAATGTAAAAAGTGACTAATAGATATATTTCTTTATTCTTTCAGTTGATATATTTTATATCTTTAAAACACCATCTATATGATTCATATACTAAGATAAACCTTTAAATAATTTCAAATTTTCCTTATATATGCTTCTGAATGAAAAAATACTAATATTGTTGCTACATTTAAAATATATATTTTCTATATTTTATTGGGATTTTCTCTTCATCTTCTTCATTTTTACCCTTTAATTAAAAGGCCCTTTAAAAAAAAAGCACTAAGGGGATAATAACCAACCCAGTGAAATATATTTATGAGACTTGGAGCATGACTAGTTATTATAGCAAAGATTAGTTAAATCTAAATGTTTAGGAACTTAATGACTTTAAAATTACAAACAGAACTCCTTCAGTGCCAAATCTATGCCCAGGTCTATCATATAATCTGTAAAACAGGCATACATCTCAATAACAAACAATCATCAACGCCTAAATTCCCTCTCAAGCTTAAATAGTTATTATCCTAGTAAGATAAAAATATTTTTAAAATTCTTTTTACAACTAGCCTCAATTTGGAATCTGTTCCTGACATACCTTCAATATCAAAACAGAGAGAGTTGATGAAACTCTTGTGAGTGTCCAACTGTCGGATCAACATGGCAGGATCCTCTTTCATATCAACGTGCCATACCCGTATCATGGAATCATAGCACCCTGTAACCACGAGCTCCTTCACAGCTGGATGGAATTTAGCCGTGTAAACAAAACAAGGATGAGGTAAGACTCTGAAAGCATTTGTATTGTTTATTTCATTTCTCCATATCCTGAAAAAAGATAAAAAGTTACATATTGCTTCTGAAAGGCACAAGTTTCTTTGAAAGTTTCTCTAAGAACCAATACAGCCAATGGGATATATAAGTAAGCAAGTGACAATGGTAAACTGGATTTAAATTTTATAACTAAAAATATAATCACATATTTGATGGTTGGGGTTTTTTACATTTGACCAAGCTATTTTCTTAGTTATTATCAAGCATAATGGTTAATTTGTTTACTAATTATAACCTATACTAGCAAATGAAAAACTGTATTTGTATAGGTCTGTCTTTTTAACATCTATCTACTTTTTGGTAGACATTGATTAAACAAACATACATCAAATAGTTGGTAAAATATTTCATTTAGTACAGTATACATAAAAAGAAGATAGAGAGAGAAACTTTAATGATTTCCCATTTAGGTTGTGTATAAAGATTTTGCAAACACTTACTAGTGGAGGGTTAGATAATAGGATACTCTATTAAGTTTACATTAGTAACTTCAAAGCCTAGATAATAAACATGAAGATCTCAAAGACTGAAAAGCCATACTAAAATTACTATATAAATACTTGAATAAAATAAGATTAAAAGAATTATTATATTTTGATAGAAAACAGACAAACCAATATTAAGCACTCACTTTGTATTTAACACTCTAATTATTTCTACTTCTAAATATGGATGATTTAAACAAATTTAGTATCACTTTTATGGCTATAGTTTTGAAAAAAGAGTAAACCCTAAGGGTTAAACTGTTATGTCAGATACTCTGCATTTCTAGTCAATGTATAAAAACAGGCAACATCTAGCAATAGACAAGTGCTATATGAGTGTGGAATATTGGATTTTTAAAAGTTTAAGTTATTAGAATTTAAAGAATACATTAACCTTTTAATATGGGAATTTGTAATTCATCCTTTTAATTTCTGCCTAAGAACTAATGAGAATTAAACCCTTTACAAAATTATCAATAAAAGAAAAAAAAATACAGTTTCTATTCATGAATAACATACTATGAGTTTTCTCAACAGCTCTTAAAATACACAATATAATCTTCAATTACTAAGAATCCAAACTAATAATGAAGGAAGTGAAAGAACATGTTTTCAAGTAAAAGTAAAGCATGTGTGTCAGAACATTTTAACCATACTAATGCTTTCAATGAACATATGTCACATGAAATATACTATATATTGAAAAAACAAAATCACTAATTTGAAGGGGTTATTTTTAACTTCAGTTGCTTGCTTATAAATCTTAGCAGCATTATTTGAAATATAGGCACAAATGCAGCCCTCGTATTTTAAAAACAGCTCAATATTGCCCTGGCCGGTTTGGCTCAGCAGTTAGAGCATCGGCCTGCGGTCCAGAGAGACCGGGTTCGGTTCCCGCTAAGGGCATGTACCTCGGTTGCAGTCTGTCCCCAGCCCTGGTTGGGTCGTGCAGGTGGCAACCACTTGATGTTTCTCTCTCTCTCTCTCTCTCTCTCTCTCTCTCTGTCCCTCCCTCCCTCCCATTCTATCTGAACAAAATATGGAAAAATGTCCTCGGGTGAGGATTAAAAAAAAACAAAAACAAAAAACAGCTCAATAAATTAAAATAGACACAATTTTTAAAAATAAAACTTTATGTGAAAGCAAAGCTGGAAACAATGGCAACTTTAGTAGCTACCAATCAATGGTAGAATTAAGATCAAAACAAATGTATTAATCGGTTTTGGAAAATATCATACACAGACAAAAAGAAGGATACACAAATTTGTAAAGACCAGTTGTCTGCACAAAAAATTTAGAAGAATTGGAAAAGAAAACCCATACCAAAGTTAAAACAATATATGTGAAGAGGGGGTGGGCCTATTTGGGAGCCATTATACACTGAAAAATCTTTCTGATTATACAAGGAGCTGTTAACTTGAGAAAAATACAGATTATACTGAAGATAATTAAAAAAGGAGATTTAGGTTAAATCCTTATGGCAGAGAGCTAACCAGTAGGAAACAGTTATCAGGAAACACTACTGATAACATGTGACAGTGATCCCGAGGAAGACAGAAGGAGACAACAGGGGCAGAAACCCACACTTCTGCCACTTTTGAGCATCAACAACTCTAATTCTCTTCCTTTTGACTTTGGCATATTCAAGTCTTTCAAAACCTCACTACCTTTTTGTTTCTAGCCATCATATTTCTTTCTTCATTCAGTTAATCCTTCATAATAATATTTTAATGATGTAAAGAGTCCTAAATTAGTATCAATTTCAAAGATACATAAAAATAAAAGCTTACTTTACTACAATATATTATATGTTGTGTGGGAAAATCAAAGATAGCTTTAAGAAATGGTAAAATGTGACCTGGGTTTTGAATGATGACTATGAGCCCACAATGGCTCACAAAAGGCACTGAAATGTTTGAGTGAATGAGTTGGTCAGGAAGGGTATTTAAACATGGAAAAACAGGGAAGGTAACAGGACATGGAGATGCCAAAGAAGATGTTAATGGTATTTCAAAAGAATGTGTGGATGAGGCAGAGGGTACCTGGGAAGTACACAATGAGGGTCAACCTGTCATGCCATGCTAAGGACTAGAACATTTTCCAAAGGGCAGTGGTATTTAAATCAAGGCATTATGAAAGATGATTTTGGAGGAGGCTAGACATAACAAGGGCTTGAATTAAGGCAACAGCAGTGAGGATAAAAATGATGATAGCATGGTGAGCCTTTTAGGAGAGAGAACTGACAGACTTTAGTACTACTTAGATGTAGAAATAAATGGTAGAAAGGAAAGAAAAGATGAGTACTACTCTTGAGTCCCAGCCTGGGAGACAGGGTGAATAAGGCTGTCATTAACAATATATAGTATAAACCCTGGCCGGTTTGGCTGAGCAGTTAGCATGAAGGCCCACGGACCAAAGGATCACAAGTTTGATTCTGGTCAAGGGCACATACCTCGGCTGAAGTTTGGTCCCTAGCCCTGGTTGGGGTCATGCGGGAGGCAACCAGTTGATGTGTCTCCTCACATTGATGTTTCTCTCTCTCTTCCTCCTACGCTTTAAAAATAATAATAATAATAATAATAATAATAATAATAATAATATAGTATAAGAGAACTAAAAGAGGAAGACAAAGTTTGGTGATTTTGGTAAGTTTGGTTTTGGACTTGAGGTGCTACTAGACAATCCAGATAGAATTGTATAATAGAAAGTCAAGCTCAGAAAAGAGTCATTAGCATACAAGTGAGATCTAAAGCCAGGGAAGATGAGAGAGACCAGGATAAGCACCTGGAACCAGGGAAAACAATCAAGTAAAGAACCTTAAAGATAAACATCTACAGAGAATAGGCAGAGGTAAGGAACTAAAGAAAGAGAGAATCGGTCAAAGTCCTAAAAAGAAAACAAAAGAGGTTGTCAATAAAAACCATAAATTAAAAATATTTCAAGACCGGTCAATAATTAAATACTGCAGTGAAGGCAAACAGGATAAGACCTAAAACTGGCCAATGAATCTGAAAACTAGCAAGTACCTGCTGACCTCTCGAAGAATACTCCTTCAGCATGGTGGGAGTGAAAGCCAGACTAACTGGGTTGAAGTAAAGGCAATTGTGTGCAGGATACGCTTGATGATTTAGAAATTAAAATGATGTGGTAGTTGGAAGGCAAAAAGAATTGAGAAAAAGATTTTTTAAAGATGAGGAGATTTGGGCATACAGTTGACTCTTGAACAACATGAGTTTGAACTGTGATGGTCCACTTATATGCACATTTTTTAAAGTGTATTTTTAAACTCTGTTTTCAATCTGTGGTTGGAAATTATGCATGCTGTATTTATAAAATGATAGGACAAAATCAATACAGAGAAAGATACTAAAGAGTCAAGAGGTGTAGGAAATAGAATTAGACAGAATTGTAGATTAAAGAACTGAGATTAAAGACACATGTCAAAGATTAGCCTTAAAGGTGTCTGTTCCCATACCTCTTTGTTAGGAGAGATGGACAGAGATAAAGATGGGTAAATTTAAATATATTAGATGGGAAACCAGAGGGAAAAACAAGAAGTTAATGCCTGGCTAAATTTCACTGCAAATTGAAGGCAGTCATCTAATGAAAGTGGGAAGATTATGACTTAGTGCAGCGGATTTAAAGCATGGTAAGGTTTGGGTCTGCTGCCAGAGGGATGGGAAAGGAGAGCTGAACAAAAATGAGTAAAGAACCGCTCAGCAGAGATGAGAATCAGGTGGTTTTCAGACTGACAAATCCACAGCCTTAGCCAGGTTATTTTTTTCTAGCATGACCCGCATCCAACAGAATGGCTATGCCCTTCTTGAGGATATTGTTAAGAGGGATTAATAGTAGATTCCCAGCTAGACAGAGAGATAAATCAATTGTCACCAGTTGTCATCTATTTTATTTAAATATAAGCTAAACAGGAATGATAACACCTTAATCAATTAGACATTTTATATTGAAAAGGAAGCTGATGAGATTAATAAAAAAAGGGACACAGACACTAGAATTGTCTGTAAAAAAGTGTGTTTAAAAGAACGAAGCATAAGTAAGAGTAAAACCAGAGTGGATCTCAAACTGCTCTAAATGTCAGTTTCCTAGTCTATAGAAATAATAAATATTTTTGGCTGAAATTAAATTTAAAGAAACATATAAAAGCATCTTAAACAACTGCCTAGTATTTTTAGAACATATCCAAAGTAGAATAAGCACCTACTAAAAACATACATGAAACTTTTAAAAATAGCTTTTAAAATACTTTATTGTGACATTTATTAAATTGGAAGGAGTTATGTTATTTTAAGACTGACATTCAGAAAAACGCAAATATTTGACAATCCAAAAAGCTCTTAAAACATAAGGTGTGTATTCATTTATTGACGCTACGCTATGCACTAAGCACTACTGTGTCCTGGCCTCTGCATCCAGCTAAGCATGAAGACAGAATCCCCGCCATCCAGAGCTTGTATCATAGGAAAAGCCTCAGTTGTTGAATAACCTCGTCTCAAAGTATTAATCAGTGTACATAATGATCATTTAAAGACAGTGAAGACTAGAAATATTATCTATTACATAAATAAAACATATTTTACAAAAAATGTCTTCAAGTTGTCACTACTACTTATTTAATCAGTCTGTCTGATGCATATTTATGGCGGTCCTTGATAAGCAGAACATAACTGAAGTCTAAGAGTAGATCTATCACTTTATATTCTCTTTGCTTCCCTTGATGGCAAACAGCATACACAATAAATACCTCTCAAATATACTAACCTGGCAGTGCCATCAGATGATGCAGTAAGGATATAGCGATCATCTTTTGACCAGCAAAGGTCATAAATGATATTGAGGTGCCCACACAATTCTCTCATGAAACGTCCAGAAGGAATTTCGTACACTGATAAAAATATTAAAAAATTAGTAGGTTTCCAAAGAGAGGAGATCCTTAATACAGTAATATACAAATTCATAATTTATACATAAAGTACTGTCTATAAGAATATCAAAGATTTTCAGTATAAAATTTTCAAAATCTACTTACAAATAGTTTTTCACTTGCTTTAGACCTAAAAATTTACACACATAAAATTTTATAATATACTACAATTAACAATTATTCTCACTTCTTCAAAGCAATTTTCCTAATAATCTTTGATAGTTAATTAATCAAATAACATTTAAACTGCAATTCAGTTCAAAGATTACATAATTTGAGCTTTCATTAAAAAGGTATTATTTTACCAGAAACCTGATTAAGTTACAACCAAAATTTTATTTGATATAACAAGAAATTTAAATCGAACTACTGTCAGGAAAAAATTTCTAATACAAAATTTATAGAAAGGTAATAAACAGAAAAACCCAATCTGATAGTGTAGTACTGTTATGTAAATGTACACAATAATATAATCTAAGACAGCAATTTTCAACTTTTTTCCATCTCATGGTACACAGAAACTATTAAAATTCTGCAGCACAACAAAAAATACATATTTTGCTGATCTGACCAAAAAAGGTATAATTTTGATTCACTCACACCGGACAACTATTGGTGTGTTGGCTGTTGTCATTTTTAAATTTTGAAATCTAAGGGAAAAGAGGTCAGTGCCTGACTAAATAGTCAGGTATTGTGTGTATTAAAAATTCTTGCAGCACACCAGGGTGCCTCTGTGGCACAAGGGTTGAAAATTGATCTAAGATAATGACCTAACAGAAAAAAAATATTTCCAAATCTCTACTTCCACCTAGTGGTCAAACTAATTACCTTTAAATTACTAAGCAGTACAGAAGTACTGGCATAAGCAAAATAAGGACTTTGAAAAATCTTCTCCCCCATAAAAGCAATGAGAACACTGGCAAAAATTGGCAAAATTAACTTTTTCAGAATTCTGGAAATTAAAAAAAGGCTTGCAACAATCTGAGAATTTATTCATGAAAAACAGCTAAATCTCAGTTAAGAACACTGAACTTTCTGCTATTTTAACTTTCCTTGTTTCTTCTAATTCCCCTCTCCCAAGCACTGTAGTATCCTTAAAAACCAACCGCCTTGCAACTACAATGAAAACCAGCAGCCTAGCAGCCATGGGATGGGCCAGAAGAGGTCTGAAGCTCCCAAAAGCACCATTCCCAAGATTTATCACTATTAGACATTCTGGCAGCTCCCTGAAAGGCTCCATTCTTAGGGTTTGGCTTTATTTGACCTCACTCTGAGCATGCTCTGTATGAACTGCCCTAACCCTAGGTGCATGTTTAAAAAAATGCAGTGACATGGCTGTCTGAGACAGTCACACCAGCTGGGGCTACGAGGAGGCTGACCAAAAGGCTTAAAAAGAAAAAAACGGGAATGAGATATCCACAGAGGATTTTGAAAAGCTTCAACATACTCCTGGGAATCTAGGATATATGCTCCTGGAAGGCTGTGTGCATGCCCAATGAAGACCTGAGACATCCTATCTCTCACTCTGGCTGACCTCAGGAGGCTTTGTGCAAACAGAAGGTGGGGGCTACGGCTGAAGCATTGAAAATGTATCCCAATACAACACTTACAGAGCCCCTCAGCAAATGCTGGGAGACCCATTCACTCAAGGCATTTAAAAAAAAATCTCTCTCTAACCATTAGCTAACTATTAAACTAACCAAGCTAACACATGACAAAGGCAAAAAACTACAGATTAATCCATGAAAGTCACTAAAGAAACAAAACAACATATCCTGCCCTGGCCAGTTTGGCTCAGCGGTTAGAGCGTCGGCCTGCGGTCCGGAGAGACCCGGGTTCGGTTCCCGCTAAGGGCACGTACGTCGGTTGCAGTTTGTCCCCGGCCCTGGTTGGTCGTGCGGGTGGCAGCCACTCGATGTGTCCCTTCACGTCGATGTTTCTCTCTCTCTCTCCCTCCCACTCTATGTGTACAAAAAATGAAAAAATATCCTCGGGTGAGGATAAAAACAAACAAACAAACAAAAACAAAACAACATATCCTGATTGGCCAGGTAGAGTGGGGGAAGATGGGGAATCTGATTTCCAGAGCTGCCACAACTCAGTATTTTAAATTCCAGTTTTCAATAAAAAATTATGGAAAAAAAAAACACCCAGAAAAGTATGACTATACACATGAAAAAAAGCAGTCAACAGAAACTGCTCACGAGGAAGCCTAACATTTGTCCTCTTAGGCAAAGACTTTAAATTCACCCTTTTTCTTTCTGGCCGATTCACGGGTATTCCATTTCCACACGACACAGGTTTCCGGAAGACAGTGTAAGGAACGAGGCCCCAACCTGCATTTGTCAGGCCCATGAAAGCAGTTTTCGGTGCGGGGGCTGCCATGTGTCATTGACACCTACCCTGCTTGTATACACTGCCTTCCATTTCCCCCGCTGCGCGTAGTGCGTGCTGCTATCTGCCATCACTCACGACTGCCCAGGCCCCCTGCCCCCCGCTGTCCTTACGGCCCCTCCCATCAAAAGAAAACAATGTCTAAAGAATTAAGGTGTGAAAATTTCTCACCAAGAGAGACACAGAAATGATTAAAAAAAGAACAAACAGAAATTCTAGAGTTGAAAAGTACAATAACTAAGAAATGCAATTCACTGAGAGGAGCTAACAGCAGATTTGAACTAGCAGAAGAACCAGGACATGAAGACAGATCAGTCAGGATTATGCAGTTTAAAGGACAAAAAGAAAAAGAATAAAAAAAAATGAATAAAGCTCCAGAGACCAGTGTGACACCATCAAGTGTTACCAACACAGAAATGACAGGAGTCCCTTTTGAAGAAATAGAAAGGGGCAGAAAGAACATTTGAAGAAATAAAGACAAAAATATCCCTACATTTGTGAAAAACATTAATCTGCACATCCTACAAGTTAAACAAATTCCAAGGAGACATCATAATCAACAATCAAAAATCAAAAAGAGCCCTGGCCGGTTTGGCTCAGCGGTTAGAGCGTCGGCCTGTGGTCCCGAGAGACCCGGGTTCGGTTCCCGCTAAGGGCATGTACCTCGGTTGCAGTTTGTCCCTGGCCCTGGTTGGTCGTGCGGGTGGCAGCCACTCGATGTGTCCCTTTCACATCGATGTTTCTCTCTCTGTTCCTCTCTCCCCCTCCCACTCTACCTGAACAAAAAATAGAAAAATGTCCTCAGGTGAGGATAAAAAAAAAAAAAAAAAAAAATCAAAAAGAGTCATCTTCTGTATTTTAGGATTTAAGTAGTAAGTATTTTTACAAAATTTTTAAAGTATAAAGTACCTATTTATCACGTAAGTGTTGAAAACATAAAATCAAAATAAAAATAATCCTTTCACTACCACTAAGAATAAAATTACTATTACTATTCTGGCGTATGTTTCCTAAGAATCTTTTTTCCCCCCTATAGTGAATTTTTAAAATAGGTTTTTGGTAAAATTTTTAAATAGCATAGCTGTAATCAAACTACACAAATAATTTTGTATTTTTTTTAAATACTGTTTTCTTTTACTGATTTGAGAGAGAGAGATAGAAACATCAATGAGAGAGAACTTCAAATGGCTACCTCCTTCATGCCCCTCAATGGGGATCGAGCCCACAACGTGGGCATGTGCCCTCACCTGGAATCGAACTTTCAACCTCTTGGTGTATGAGTCAATGCTCAACCAGTGAGCCACACCGGCTGTGCTAATTTTGTATTTCTTAAAGCTAACATTATTTCATGAGGAAGAATATTTATTTAATAAATGCTAATCAAGCCTATAAGTCCCTGCTGAAAAAAAGCAAATCAAGCAAGAAATACTGTCTAGTGCTTAGGACAGACGTCCACGAGGGGCTGAGGTGAGCTGGTTTTCATTACTAAGCAAGAAACAAGGGAGAGTAGGAATGCCTCTGAGTCTACAAGAGTATGATAATGCTCATTTATATTTTTTAAAAATCTGTAAAGAGATACAGAAATAGTTTTTTTTAGCACAATTTCCTATATTTTTTAAAGGCAAATTGAGAATGAGTTTTTGGCCTCTTTACTGGCTTCTCATAATGAGAAGTCTTAATTCAGGTCCTTCTGAGCTAATTATTATTGTTCTAATGCATAACAAATCTGAAGGCTGTCATAATTCAAATAATCACTGCCATTGACTGACTGCATTCCTCCTGAGATTTATTATCCTTCAGGTTCTAAATTTCTATATTTAAAATAAAAAATTATTACAAAAACCCTTCGCATGTTTAAAAATAATTTATCATCCTTCAGTCTACTTCTGAAAACATATTGTATAGAAAAGTGTAGAATTCTACTTCTGAAAACATATTGTACAGAAAAGTGTAAAATTATTTTATTATTTTTTTATCCTCACCTGAGGACATTTTTGCATTTTTTGTTCAGATAGAGTGGGAGGGGGGGAGAGAGAGAGAGAGAAACATCAATGTGAAAGGGACACATTGAGTGGCTGCTACCAGCACAACCTAACCAGGGCTGGGGACAAACTGCAACGAGGTACCCTTAGCAGGAACCGAACCCGGGTTTCTCTGGACCACAGGCCGACGCTCCAACCGCTGAGCCAAACCGTCCAGGGTGAAAAGTGTAAAATTATTAAAAAGAACTGTAACTTTACTTGAAGAAATCTATTTAATTTAGTAGTACTAGAGGATTGTTCAAATTAAAATTTCAATGTTTTTAAAAACCAAGCATGTCCTCCATAAAGACTTCAATCAAACAAATAGGATTATTACTCACAAATAATTGGATAGCCATCTCGGCTGGCACAGGCTGCTGCTAATATTCTTCCATTGTGAGAGAAAGAAAGACAAAAACATCCTCGTTCTCCTGCATTTAGTGAGAATAGGTGCTTGTTTGGGATACGGCAAGCCTAAAAACATACATTTTAAAACAAATTAAGAAACATTAAAATATAAAGGCTAGTTGTTAATTTCAATCACTGCAGTTTTTTTTAGACTCTTTACAATGATGAAGAGGAAGAGAAAAACAAGTAAGAAGAATGATAAAAAAAAACAAAACCATAGTAATTCATTTTACTTTCTACAGAGAAAATCAGTTCTCCATAAAATTAAGTGAACTTATACTCCATGTCTAACCAGTACTTAAATTCATCTAAAATATGAGTAGGAAATTTCAATATCTGATACTCTAAAGCTGTCACTATACATAGCTTTTACAACCATAAAAAAATGTGTCACAGCCTTATTCCATGACAGCAGCTAATACGTGATTTTTGCTGAGCCATAACTTGTTCTGAGATCATAAATGTCCTTCAGGACCTAGCTTAAGCCCAGGCTGTATAACTATTCATTCTCTCTGTTCTTCTCTAAAATAACCACCATTTGTGGCTACCTTCCAAAGGTATTTTCAAAGTAATGAATCACTCCCTTTTGGTTTCTGATTCACTAGTTTTATTAAAATTTTTACATTTTCATTCCTTATTACCAGATAAAACTAAATTTCTTCATGTATTAATATATACTGTAGAAAATACTTTTATTTGTTCTAATTCTACCTCTTCCAAATTTCAGTGAGCTTTAGTTTCTGTGTTCCTTAGTATTCTAAAAGTTCAATTAAACATATATATTGGGCCCTTACTTTGCCAAGAATATGGTACTTTATTACACATGTGTTACATGTGTTTTCATATATTCATCACAGCAACACTATATGAGTAACCATTATTATTATAGATAGCTACTAAGGATTATTCAGAGGGTAAGACCAACTTAATGAGCCTAGTCAAAGATTATTAGTTCAAGGGCCTGCATTCTTGATAGGCACCACATTTTTCACAAGTAACATCAAGAAAAAAAAAAAAAAGATTTAGCAGCATTATTAGGAGGTGGCATTATGAGTAGCTACTTGAAAGGTGAAAAATTCAGCAGATATTCATTAGGCACCAATAATGTACCACGCTACCTTTTCCCCTTCCATTCTCCATCCGGACGACTCTGAAAAGGAAGAGGAAGTTGAAAAGAGGAAAAAACTAAAGAAAAAGTCAGGAGATTTTATAATCAGTTGCTGCTGTTCCTAGAGCAGGAGATGTAGATGAGGAAAACTGCCTAAGCACCTAAGCTAAAGTCACTGAAGCCACTATCATTTTCTTTGTACTCCCAGGGTTTGACACTGTACTTAAAATAGCCAATGAAAGTTTAACAGCAATAAAGGGCCTCAATATCTTTTACTCTTTCCCCTTCTTTAATACCCTGCCAGTCACTAAATTATGCTGATCCATTTTTTCTTTCTTGTATTCATTTCTTATATTTCACTTTTTGCCACCATTATCATGGTTGGACTCTTTTTCACCTCCCATCAATGACTGCAACTGCCATTTGGTAATTTTCTCTCCTTCTGATGTATCCACTTCAAGATCTATATGCCACTGCCAGCATTAATTTGTTCTAAAACATGATGAAGGCCATGCTTCTATCCTACCCAAAAACCTTCCATTAATTTCTTACATCCCACACAATCAACTATTAGGCTATCATTCAAGACACTCCACAGTGTGGGCCTACCTAATCTATCACACAACCTCATTTTTTATACAAATTCTGGTTTCCAGCCAGCCAAGTTTTAGTGCCTGACCATACAGCAGGTACTTTCCCATTTATTTACAACTTTGCTCTCAGATACAATACCTTTCCCTACCCTTTTTCGCCCACTCCTAACTTGGCCATCCTTTAAAGTCTACCTCAAGGTCCACCAACCTGTTGAATAAACCTTTCTTCTACAACTCCAGTTTACCTTCTTCAAACCTGAAATTCTCAAAATGTTTTAGTTTCAAGATGTTTTCTGGTCTTAAGAAAAATTTGAGGACCTCCAAAAAACGTTTGTATATGTGGTTATATCCATGGTTATTTGTCATTAGAAATTAAAACCAATAAATTAAAAAATGTATGTTAATTCATTAAAAAAATAACAGTAGCAAACCCATTAAATGTTAACATATCTTTTTATGAAAAATAACTACATAAAATGAAATTGTTCTACACTTTTGAAAATATCTTTACTATCTGGCTTAATAAATGATAGTTAGATTTCATAACTATCATTTAACTTCTGGAAAACTCCAGTGTATACTTGCGAGAGAATAAAAGTGAAAAAGAAACTGAGTCATTAAACTCATTATGATACTATTATGAAAACAGCTTGATTTTATAGTCACCCTGAAAGGGTCTCAGGACTCCCATTAGTTTCCAAATCACACTTTGAGAACTGCTCATCTATACAATTATTTTTATACCTATATTTCCTCAAGAATTCTCTGCAGCATACCTGACAGTGAAGAGCACTATAACCATTTTGTTTCCCCAACAAATGTCAAAGGTCCCTCAGGGTACAGTCTAAATGCTATTCTCCTCACATTATTATGTCTTGATGAATCTGTAAAACTGGCCTCAAGAAGAAGTCAAATTGATGCAAAACACAGAAAGTGAGAAGGGGAAACAATCATCCTTATGTATATACTGAATGTCTGCATAAATTTAGATTTTAGATAAACTGCATTGGTATTGGCTTAGACATATAAAATAAACCATTCCACATTTTGTGATTTACAAAATTGTATTAGCAGTGCTTCTTGCTACTGCAAAATATATTAACCAAGTAAGAAAAATTTAGTAAAAGCTTAAATACTGCTCCACTTGTAGTAGAAGAATATACAGTGCACATCAAAATGTGATTCAGGAAAAGCCAGGACTGCAAAAAATTTCATGAATACATTAAAAAAAAAATTTTTTTAATAGTAAAATCCATTAGAAGACATACCTCTCCTAGACATAAAAAAAAAATCTGATTTTTACTTGTTATGGGCTAAATTGTATACCCCCAAATTCATTTGTTAAAGTCCTAACCCCAGTACCTCAGAATGTAACATTATTTGAGGCAAGTTCTTTAACTAGCTGATTAAGTTAGAATGAAGTTGTAAGGGAGGGTCTTGACTAGAAGAGGAAGAGACACCAGGGACATACAGGCAAAGGGAAAAGCCCATGAAAGGGCAGCAAGATGGCAGTCATCTGCCAGCCAAGAATAAAGCTTCAGAGTAAACCAACCCTGCCAACCCTTGATCTTGGGACTTCCAGCCCACAGAACTATGAGTAAATAAATTCCTGTTGTTTAAGTCAAGCAGTCTGCACTATTTAAAAAAAAATTTTTTATGGCAGCTCTAGCAAACTAATAAAACTGCCCAGGTCCTTACACAAACAACGTAGATAGTGTTTTTATAAAAATGATAAGCACTTTAATATTACTTGTCAAATGAATGATTAGAAAGACAATATTGTGATTAAAAACAAGAATAGTCTGAGAGTTTTAAATAGCAATTTAGTTACCCGAGGAGTTGCTGGAGTGTTTAAATAAGAAAACATCTAAATTAATTCAGTATCATCAAACACTTCACCTGCCCAGGCAGTCGTTTCCACTTTACTACTTCCTTTGAGTCTTCTAATCCAGGTTCTGTGTCTAATGAACTTGACTCCTGGTGGTGTTCACAACACTCTGGTTTACCTTTTTCCTCTTGAAGAGCCATAACAGTACGGTAAGATGGCTTTATCTAAATATGTATAGAAAATAAGAAAAATATAGATATCATGTTAATTTTTTTCTCTTTTCTAGCATTGATGGTTTTTAAAGTACTGAAAGAAACAATCTGGAAATGTTTTCAATCTGGAAATGTGTAATTCAGAAAAAATTCTACTTTTATTTGTATATTATTCTAAATAAAATGAAAATTGCTTGAAATTACTGTTCTACAACGAAAAAGTTTTAGAAGTTAGGAGAGAAAAAAAAACAATTCGAATGGTAACATGAGTATGTTTTAATAACTCTATCCCTTTGTTTTTGCTTCTTCACCAACACCTATTAGTTGTTATGTCATGGCTCTTATATAAAATTGTATCTCTGGCTTTGATAACACAAAACTGATATCAAGATCTAAAGTTTTTTTAAATCTTTCATTTCTTAAAAACAGATTTAATTCCATTCAAATCAACGCAAACCAACTCAGTGGTCACAGTTTATAATGTCAACTACAGAATATGCAACTAACTTGAAAGGTCTTCTAGCAAATAAGATGAAAGCAAAAGTTTCAGCTCATTTTAGGACATATTCTTTGCTAAGATCATTATATTCATAAAATACGGAAAACAGAATTAGATATATTATTTACTGATTATTTAAATAACATCGTGAAAAATGTGCCCGTAAATCACATCTGTAAACTATTGCCCAGGCAATAGTGAACTATTATCCTGCTGACTGGTTTTTTAAATAAAGTTTTAGTGGAGCACATTTTCAAACTGTTTGTTATCACCCACATATGTCTATGTAGCTACTTTCACACTACAAAGACAAAGGTGAGTAAATGCAATACAGACTGCATAGCCTGAAAAGCTTAAAATAGTAACTATCTGATTCTTTATGAACAATATTTGTCCACTTCTGCTTTACATCATTATTTTATCTTGAATTTTTAAAATACAGTATTATTGCTGGCCAGGCAGCTTAGTTTGTTGGAACATCGTCCTGTGCATCTAAAGATTGTGGGTTTAATCCCCAGTTGAGGAGTTTATGGGAGGCAACCGATTGATGTTTCTCTTTCACATAAATGTTTCTTTCTCTCTCACATCCTCTCTCTCTAAAATCAATAAAACAAAACAAAAAATACACATCCTTAGGTGGGAATTTAAAACAAAAGCACAGCATTATTTAAAACAAAGTTTTCCTAACAATGAAATTTATATTTTTTACTTACTGTCATTTAAGTATCAGCTATTACAGGATCAATACATTATCTCTGAAGGCAACTTTCTATTCTACAAAGCCACTAAAATAATTCTAGAGAACTTATGTTTTTAGAAATGGAAAACATGTTACTATTCACTTACACATTCTGGGACTTTCAACCCTCTTACAGTCACATACAATGTTGATGGATAACGATTTCTTGGACATTTTGACCACCATTCAAAAACCTCAATGACATTTACACGGGATCGAGGCTTAGTAGGTGGGTAATATAGCTGCAAGCGAAGCTTTGAATTGATGTTTACATTTCCATTGGCTCCTAGAAGCTTAAAATAGAATTCAAACAAAATTTTATCTTCATTGAAAATAAATAAATCTGATATAGCAATAGCATGTAGTTAAAAACTCATTTTAAAAAATATTAATATGGCATGCTGATATGCCTTAGATCATAAAGCAAAGGCAAGGACACAGTTCCAAATGACTCTGACAAAAGGGAACCCCGATGACTTGTAAAATATTTTCCTGATAGTTTTCTTTGCCTATACAACTTCAGATGGTTGGTAAAGCATTCACATTTCTGTGCAGAATGTTACTTTCCACACAGAAAGTGATCAATATACCTTTGTTTTGGATAATTATGATAAAGACTATAATTTATCATATTGTTTAAACACAGAAACAAATTTTCCATTTGTTTAGTAGCAGTATTTTTAATGGTAAAATTTTATAGTTCCATTTTTTAAAATGTCAAAATCATTTTCAAATAGTAATTTACATGATTAAACTTATTAAATCTATTCATTACAGTTAAAAACTATTTTAGTCTACCTTCTGGGAAAGGTCTACTTAATAAAAAAAAAAATTAAACAACTTATGTTTAAGCTAAGTACATAGAGATTCTTATTAGAAAAAACAAAACAACCTCACCAAATCAAAACAGGTCCTTTTTCAGTAGACTATGACTCTAAATAGAAAATGCCTTTGTTAACCTTTGTGTCCTCTACAAAGTAGGAGACACAGTTGCAAGCTTTTGCAGCAACTGAAGCAGAACATGAATTGACAACTAGAGTGCAAGAAACAAATTTAGTAACTGTTACTGACTGATGCAACTTAAGTAAAACAAGGGGTCAAGAAAGATTCTAAGGAAGTGCTATCAGAACTATGTGATGATGGGGATGTTCTATATTTGTGTTGTACAATACAGTATCCGCTAGTCACATATAGCTATTGAGCACTTGAAGGTTGGCCAGGGTAACTGTGGAACTAAATTTTTAATTATATTTAATTTTAATCAATTAATTTGAAGTCAAATAGTCATGTGTGACTGTGGCTACCAAAATGCACATTGAAGTTCTATGCTTGTAACCTTGGGAGCCTGGGCAGAAGGCGGTGATACCAACTAGTGTAGCAGACAGAGAAGAGGTAATGATTTAGGCAGGATGGAGTAAGAGATATCTATGGGTCATCCAAGCTGAAATGTCTGAAATCTGAAGCAGAGGCAAGAAAAGTAGGTCTAAGGAAAGTGGATTAAAGATGAAACCATGAGTAGGATTGGTAATTAAAGAGGTAAGTGGAAGGCCATGAAGGAAACTGAAGGATTAGTATAAGGAAAATCAGGAAAGGATGGTGTCAAGAGAACCAAGACAATAGAGTTTCAAGAGTGATATATCACATGAGCATAAGTGAGATAAAAGAAGAACTGAAAAAATGTTCAATAATTTGGCAAACCATTAGTGATACATTAGAAGATACTTTAGTAGCTAAGGCCACTAAACACTGATTGCAGTGTGTCCAGAAATGATGACTATCAATAAAGAAACAGAGTTGGCAAAAAGTAGCCCATCTTTTTTCCCTACCCTTTTAGGGAAGGTTGGAAAGTTAATGGAAGTGGTAAGCTGAGGATGATGATATGATATAAAAGGGTAAACAACAGTTTCAAATTGAGTAATAGAAAAGTTAAGTCATTAAATATTAAGCATGCAAAACTCCCTTCATAAACCTTCTTACTATCTGCCTGAAGCTTACATAAGGCAGTATCATTTTAAGGAGACATTAGTCCCCAGTTTCTAAATCATACTTTCCACAAGCAGGCAATCTAGTATGCTACTTAGCATGAGAAACAGCCAAGATCCTGTCATATAGTTACATATTATACAGAGTATGGCAAAAGTAGGTTTACAGTGTATGTGAAACAGTTTATTCTTGTACTATTTTTATTATTATTTTCCATATGAACTGTAAACCTACTTTTGTCCCTCCCTGTATAATGTAGAACTTGAATAAATAAGGCTATATTATTTTATGGTTTAAAAAAACAGACATCTACATATGTACTAAAAGAACTGAAAGTGCCTCTAGCTGAGAATTATGATAAAGTCTCATTTATATCTGCACAAGGTTCCTTTGGGACTCATCTGGACCACTATAATAACTTTACAATTAATTATCTAGGACATTCCTGGAGCCATTAAATCATTAATATTTTAATTTGATTCATGCCTTCTCAAAAATGAACTTTTCCTTAGTCACTGTTTCCATATATTTATTATTTCTCTCAATAGATATTCGCTGAGCACTTTCTGTGCTGGAAGCACTAATATGCTGGGAGCTGGTTATATTATAGAATACAGAGTTTCAAGAGAATGACATAGTAAATGGGAAGAGATCTGGTAAAACTAAAACTAAAAATGTTCAGCAAATTTGCCAAAAAGAAGTCACTGCTGACTTTGAAGCTTACAGTCTCATGAAAGAGACATGTAAGTTTTCCAGTAGAGGAAGCACAAAGAATACCTTACCCTTTATAGGGGTGGAGATGGCAGAATTCCTGATTGCCACTTTTTCCAATGGCATAAAATGGATAAATAAAAATCCATATGACATTTAAAAGTAAAAATGCTATGAGATACATTACTGTTTCCCAGGTGCAGCTTTCAGGAAATACTGAAGTTCTGCATAAACCTTAACATTAAAAGGAATGAAAGAAGTTTTCAATAAGACCACCACAAGGTAATGCTTACTATATGAAAGTGACCTCCATAGGTTTCTTGTTTTTGCTTTTTTTTTTTTTTTTTCTCTAATTCAGTGTAGAGGGTTACAGAAATGGGTTATAAAAGGGTGATTTTAAAAGGTACACTGCACCAAGTGATTTCTAAGTCCACTGTAGAATTACTTCCTCTGATGCCAACCTGGCCAATATTTAGCAGTCAGACTGCACCTCCTTCCAATATGAATTAAGTGACTTACCTGGGTTTTCAGAGCATCTACTTTATAACACAGTCTAAGTAGTAAGTTTACACAGAAACTCAACTGAAGGGCAAGAACAAAATCTAATTTATCTATGAATGCCCTGTATGTGCCAGTGCCTGGCATTTCATATACACAAATATCTGTTAAAGGATGACTGTACAAAAGGAAAAGTTTTATAAGATAGTACAAAATAGGTTAATTACTCAAGGTTTTTTATAACTCAAATTTATGTTCGAAGTCAGAAATAAAAATAACAAAAATAAAAAAATTATAAAATTAAAATTTCCTCTTTAAAAATAATTAATCTATCCATGCCTTTTATCTCCTCCGAAATGTCCTGCTGGATTGGCTCAGCAGTTAGAGCATCGGCTGCAGACAAAAGGGTTGTGGATTTGATTCCCTGTCAAGGGCACATTCCTTGGTTGTGGGTGTGATCTCTGGCCCTGGTTGAGGTCTTGTGGGAGGCAACCAATCGATATGTCTCTCTTACATCAATGTTTCTCTCTCTCTCCCTCTCCCTCCTTCCCTCTCCCTCCTTCCCACTCTAAACACATATCAATGAAAAAATATTCTCAGGTGAAGATTAAAAAAAAAAAAGACACCATCATTTTATACATAGACTACTGCAAGAATTTTCTACCTTGATCTTCCAGTATATATATAACCGCACCCTCTATAATCCATTCTCCAACCAGCAAAGTAATCTTTCTAAAACATAAATGAGTTTATTTTATCCTTTTGTTTAAAATTCTATACAGCTTCACAATGCTTCTTAAAATTCTATAATGGCTTTATGTGGCTACAATGACTTAGAAGACCTTGTATAATCAAGACCCTGTCTACCCTCAGAAATCTCTTCAAGCACCAATTTTCCTCTCAGTCTCTTGTCTTCCAATCGCAGTGGCTTCTTTTGGCTGAATAAGGCAGGTTCTTGAATAACGTTTGGTTAAACATCCTTGTGTTGTAACATGGTGAGAGGTCATAGAAACTTAACTTTTGTTTATATCAATTAGCCTATGATAAAATGAATGTCACTGTACATCATTTTGCTTAAAGTTACAGAACCTATAGACAACATTATGTGAAGAATGACTGCATATTTTACTACTTAAAACAGGGTCTTTGCATATATGGTACCCTCTACTTAGCATGGTCTTTTCCCAACTGCTACCATCTAGCTAATACTCAGGGTTCAATGTCTCTTCCTGAGAATTCTCTGACCTGGAGGTTTTTCTTTTTATCCTCACCCAAGGAAATTTTTTTTTTGGGGGGGGGGGTATTTATCTTCAAATAGAGCAGAAAGGAGAGAGAGAGAGAGGGAGGAAGAGAGAGAGAAACATCGACGTGAGAGAGACACATTGACTGGCTGCCACCCACATGACCCCAACCAGGACCGGAGATGAAAAGCAACCTAGATACATGCCCTTAGTGGGAACTGAACTGGGACTCTCTGGTCCACAGGCCAATGCTCTAACCACTGAGCAAAACTGGCCAGGCTGACCTGGATGTTTTTCATCATCTACCCCATACGTCTTCTCATAGTTATATATAAAAATTCTAATAAATGAAGAACTGTGTAATCAATTGTTTTACATCTGTTTTTTGTCTTTTGGTGTGTTTTTTTTGCCAGAATATGAGGTCCAAGAGGCCAAGGAATTTGTCTTTGTTCAAAGACTAGAACAGGAACTGGCATATAGAAAGGGTTTAATAAATATCTGATAAGTTGAAAACAATGAAAGCAGGGTTGTGTGTGTCTTTTTCAATGCTTTATTCTTAGAGCCAAATCATGTACCTGGCACAAACTAAGTACTCAATATAACGTTTAAGAATCTGAATGAGCATCACTCAAGCTTGAATTAATAACTCTCTACCACTACAGTCTTACCTTAGATGATAATTCCCTATATGAATCCAAAGTGACTTGGGGAAAAGCAGCCAATCAGATTAGAAGATTATTTTTAAAGTGTTTAAAACGGATGAAAAACATACCTTGAGAAACGCCCAGGCAATTTTCCGAAAGCCACACTCTTGGTTTTGAATTTCAGAGTTATTCCTAATTTCATCCAGGCTTAAGAAATCAAGAATCTATAAATAAATATTTAAAAATTACTTCACAGAAGACTAGGCTAACTAAAATTTTATATTTTCTAATAATATATTATGAAAATAAAAAAAAAACATTTGTTTACTTAAAAAGTTTTCCTTATAGGAAGTTAAAATGTTTTTATCTAATTTCATTAACCTTTAAGTTAATTCATACTGTTAGTGAAGATTCATTTTTTGACTACTTTCTTTTATTGAAAAATCTTTTAAGAGTTATTTAAAATTCAAGACAAAATACTAATGACCTCAAATATAGTCTAGACACAAATACATAATGCACAGAATACTTAAACTTTGATAATTTTTTAATGTATGAGAGCAAACTTTGAAGGACTATTTGTTTAATGAAATCATGGCCTTATTTATCTCTGGGTCCTTTCTTAGATCATCTTCCTGAAGGTGGAGATTTTCTCTTCGTATTTATGTTATCATTAGGCTTCTCAAAAAAATTTCTTTCACATCTGTCTGGATGTCACAGCCCATGAATTTGCAATCAACCTACACAGAGACTATCTGTATTCTAGGTACCTGTCAGAGATTATCACTTTGAACTTACTGGTATTTATCAAAAGTTCAGCTGAGGTAACAAATCTTTACAGAAGAAAGCTTTAAAAAACAATACAGACTCTACTCATCCTGTTCTTTATATTCTTTTATCTGTCTTCAGATGTAATACATGCTCAATGAAAAAACACTGACAATATAGGAAAAATATATTACAAAGTAAAAACAGCTTTCAATCCAGACCCAGAGATGATCAACATTAAAATCTACACATTTACAGGTTTACACATATCTAAACCTTTTTCTGTGCATTCCTAAATACTTCTATATTACTACAAATCCAATTCTATTTTACAGACTATTTTGATATACTTTATAGTAGATATCTCTTCAAGTCAATACTTACATATGTATATTACCATGGTAACGGCTGCCTAGTATTTTTCTGTATTGCAAATGCCATAAATTTAATTAAAAAACCATAATTTATTTAACCAAACCACTTACTGATTGAAAAGACTTGTCTCTAAATTTTTTGCTTTTATAAACTATAAGGGTGCTTAAGTAAATACCCTTACATATACATCTTTGTATACTTGTCATTTTTCTCTTCGGAGAAATACCTAAGTGCAATAAGTTTTAAAGACTTCTGGTAGATTAACAAGTTGTCCTCAATAAACCCTTAAAAAGTTGAAATAAAAAATTGGTTTTGTAGACAGCACATTATACTAAAAATTAAGAAGCAACCGATTATTTATAATCCAACAATTTTTCTTAAATCTCATATTTGTAAAATAAAAATAAAATATTATACTAACAAATGACAAATTTCTTTGACAAAGAAAAAATTCCTTGATACACAAATAATACTACTTTTTAAAAAAATCACAGTTTTGCATAAATCATACAACATAATCAGATGTGATTGGTAAAATATTTGTTTCAAAAACACAAAAAGAACACTTAACAGTTAAGGATCATATAAAAATCAATCATTGGTTCTCGTCATGCCGTGCTCTTCCCGTGCTAAAATTCACTATCTTGCTTAAATTTGAAAAGAGGCTTTCTCTCTTTCCCTTTGCTTATGGAGCGATAACATGAATTAGTTAAAAGAAATGTGGTATTTAGGTTTAAACTAACTTCAAATACAAGTTACCTGCACTTAAAATTGGAGTTATTAAAAAAAATCACTTTATACTTCAAAAAATCAGTTTACACTCCGTGATGTCCTTCACAGTAAAATGTTGGAATAGCATGTCAGCTCAAAGGCCATCTACTCTTAAAGCTTTCCTTGACTGCTCTGATCCTTGACTAACCTTCACATCTAAGTAGTTCTACTTCACCTGGTTATATATGACACTGTATTCATCATGTGATCTGTATAAGTTCACTTTATTTGTTAGTAGTATACAAACTCTTAGGGAGTCTGATACTATTAAATGAGTTTACACTCCATGAAATGGGTTAAAAATGGAGGATTACATAGATAAAGATCAGATTCAACATTTCAGTTAACAGTCATAGCATTGTTGTAAGGATTAAATAATGGAGTAAATCCAATGGCTAACTACTTGCATTAGCAAATGCTCAACAAATATGCTATTACTTATATCTTTCATTTGTATCTCCACTGCATATTACAAACACTAAATAATAGAAATTAAATTTTCACACTACATGGTTGTATATTGGACTACTAAAAACAATAGCTTACATTTGTGGTATGCAATTGGCCTTCTTCTTCCACATCTGAAGAATCACCTAATTGCAGATCACAATATTAAAAAAAAATCCTAGAATGTTCCCAAAAAAATTGAACTTGCCATGTACCAAGTACTCTGATGAATCCACATGAATAAAGTGATGTGTAGGCATACCTTGCATATGTGTAGTCTATATGCAAATATTGCACTATTTTATATAAGGGACTTCAGCACCTGCAGATTCTGGTATCTGTAGAGAGTCCTGAAACCAATTTCCTGTGGACGACTGTAATAACTAAAATTTAGTTAAAATTACTCTATTCAATTCATACCTCAAAGAACAGGATGACTTTAGGGCTCTCATCAACATCTCGAAGTAAATAGGAAAAGTTTTCATTAAATATAATTTGTTCTTCCCACTCTGGAAGCCTTGATTTTAACTGTTTAAAATCATATGGCTGGGTCATAATAGGAAGAATATAATCCACATTGTCTTTTTCAAAGTAAGATGAAACAGGCCGTTTACTGTTGAAAAAAAAATTTCTATTAACACATTTCTTTATAAATTTGAGAATGTGAGAAAAAAATAAAAATATGGTATTCAAGGTGAGGCAACTAGAAATAATGAATAGCCATGATACATACAAAAATTACTTTGTCCATCTAGAAAATTATAAATGTTATGAGACTTAAAAGTGGTAGTATTTCATTTTGCATTTACATACTATCAGCTGGTTTCACAGAGTTATTTTATTATAGAAATATAAAGTAAGAGGTATAACTATTCCTTCAGTGTGCAAAGCTGGAATAAAGTAACTCCTTCAGAATCGAAAATGAGTTTATCATAAAATGGTATAGTACATTTAAATAAAAAAAACAAACACAAGAGGACTGTAAACCTTTCTAGGTGTATCATATCTTTATATGCCCTAAGACAAGTGAGTAAGTGAATGACCTGTTTGATAATCCTCATGTTTCTCATCCTTGCCATCTTTCCCAGCAGATAGTTTTTTTAGAATTCTAGTATAATCGTTTATTTTATTGTACTTTTTATTTGAGCCTTCAAGCAAGTATTACTATAGAAGTAATAGTAGAAAAAAATTAAATTCAAGATTCGTTTACCTCACCTGAGATCCAGGTAACATATTAACTTCAAAACAAAAATATGTCAGAAACAAATGCACTTACAGTGCAATATAATTTGATATACATTGCTAGTTTAATGCCATAAAGTAGTCATTAAGCTTGGCAGAAACTCTCTCAACTTCCCTCCACTTAAAATGAATCACTAAATCAACAGATGCTCTCCATTTCTTCTATAAAACATACTGACCAGCCCTGGACAGTTTGGCTCCGGAGTTAGAACATCAGCCCACGAACCAAAGAGCTGCAGGTTCGATTCTGGTCAAGGGCACAAACCTCGGTTGCAGTTCGGTCGGGGTCATGCGGGAGACAACCAATCGATGTGTCTCTCTCACATGAATGTCTCTCTCTCTTTCTCTCTCTCTGCCTCCCACTCTATCCGAAGATAAATGGAAAAAAGTATCCTCGGGTAAGGATTAAAAAATAAACAAACACATACTGAGCAATATCAATTGTTGGTGAATACCTACAATTAGTAAACTGTTCTCCAATACAAATTCATAGCCCTACTTACATTGACTTTCAATGGCAGAATAGAGAACTTCTACTGTAGACTATAGACATTTTCAATTCAAGGGTTGGCTGTGTAATTTTTAAAAATTACCTATTTTGTTTCTTGACATATTGACCAGTAATCTCATCAACCACGTGAATTTTTACCATTGGGTGAGAAATCATAAAATCTGACTTAAGTCGATCAGTTCGGTGAATGTAAACTCCCAGGACAAGGTCATCATCAAGCAAACATTTGGGATAAACTGGACTATCTCGATTTGTTATTTCATGAACACCATCATCACCCTCAGTGTCTTCATTATCATCTGAAACTAGAAGCATAAAAGAAAATCAACATTATAATTAATTGTTCTCACAACAATATACTCAACAAGTTAAATTTTCATGTAACTTAATCCTCATGATTCATAATTATTTGCCTTTTCTTTCTGTTTTTTTTTTTTTTTGTGGTATGTGCCCCTAGCGGGAACTGAACCCAGGACTCTGGTCAGCAGGCTGACGCTCAACAGCTGAGTCAAACTGGCCAGGGCTATTTGCCTTTTTAAATAAAGAAACTTCAAGGAAAAATAAAAGAAAAGCCAGACAAGCCTGGTTGGTGTGGCTTAGTTGGTTGAGCCTCGTCCCATGCACTGAGAGGTCCCCGGTTCAAATCCTGGTCAGGACACATGTCCGGGTTGCAGGCTTGATCCCCAGTAGGGTATGTGCAGGAGGCAGCTGATCGATGTTTCTCTCTCACTGATGTTTCTAACTCCCTCTCCCTTCCTCTCTCTCTAAAAATCAATAAAAACATATTAAAAAAAAAAAAAGCCAGACAATAGCAGATTATACTCTAAGAGTAATACATTGCAAATACTAATGCATTAAAATAAGGAATTTTTCTCATTTTCCTAACAAGAACCAAAAACATAAAAATAATAATAAAGCAAAGATAAAAAGTAACTTTATTTAGGTATTTTTCTAAGTGAAATATATAGCACTCAATTCAGTTATAACTGTAATTTATGCTTCTGAGCAGGATGTAGTAGGATGTTACAAGTCAGTGCTTCTGGTAACAAAAACTTGAAAAGCCAATGAATTACAAAAACCTTATTTTTAAAGGCATCAGAAAAATAATTTTTAAAGACATCAGAAAAGTACAGAAACAATGTATATAGTAGATGGACTAAACTTCTGGACAGGGAGAATCATTCAGAGGTAAACTGATGGACTGGCAGCTGTTTTAGTCTCTGGAAACATTTGCAGATTCAAGATGTGGGCTGAGGAACAGTGTTTAGCGCAGGCAGAAGGTCACTATCAGGAGAAAGAGTAACCAGAAAAACTTTTAGTGGGGCTATAGTAATAAAATTAGAGATCTGAGGGGCCTCAAACATATGGCCAATTTGCTTCACAAAACTGAATTCTGAGCCTATGTGAGAGGCTAAAGAGCTAGTGAAATCTTCCAGTCTTTTGATACCTGGAAACAATGACCAGTTAGGGGGAGGGGCCTGAAATAAAAGAGGCAAAGATGAAGCCCTAAAGGGTCTGGTCAATTTATATCTATTGCCACTTTTCACCTGGGGTCACTTACCAATTCTGGGTGTAGCTAGAGGCTGAGAATCCAAGTGTGGCCCCTGGCAGAAGACCCCTAATGGAGGACAGAAAAACCAACAGAGATTTTGGTGTTCACATGGGACTGGAGTGACAAAATTGGAGACTTGAGGAACTTCAAACATATGGCCAGTCTTCCCACCAAAATATTTGCCAAATTTTGAAGCTGCATGGTGCAGAAGGCTAATGGACTAAGCTGAAAACCTCTGAAGGGCAAAACTGAATCTTCCACATTCTTTTAGGGCTGAAGAAACAAATACCTGTCTGGCTCTCAATTTAAAACACCCGGAAGCCACATCTTAGGAACAGGACAAATCAGAGATAGAATCTTACCAAAATTACAATGCAGCCCTAACCTAGCTAAATTCCTTACTGGTTAAAATTAGTTGACTACCCTATCTGCCTAAGAAAGCAGAGGAAACCCTCTCTAGTGGAAGATAAAATCATCTAGAGCCTCTATGATTCTATACACATGCAATTCATAAAAAAGGCAAGACGATATGACCAATAACCAAGAGAAAAAACAAAACCATAAAACAGAAGCAGATCCACAGATGATCCAGATTGAATTAGCACACAAGGACTTTTAATAACTATGATTAAAATGCTCAAGAAAATAAAGGGAAATATAAACAAGATAATTTTAAAAGTGAATACTTTCTACAGAGAATTGGAATGCTAACCTCCAACATGGTAGTATTAAGAGGTGGGGCTCTGCCTGGCTGGGTGACTCAGTGGATTGATCATCATCCCATGCACCAGGAGGTCACCGGTTCGATTCCCAATCAGGGCACAAGCCCAGGTTGCGGGCTTGATCCCTAGTAGGGGGCATCCAGGAGGCAGCTTCTCTCTTATCAACATGTCTATCTCTCTCTCCCTCTCCCTTCCTCTCTACCTAAGAGTAAATAAAAACATATTAAAAAAAGAAAGAAGTGGCCCAGCCAGTGTGGCTCAGTGGTTAAGCATCAACCCATGCACCAAGAGGTTGCTGGTTCGATTCCGTCTGTGGGCCAAATCCCCAGTGGGGGACATGCAGAGGTGGCCAATCGATGTTCTCTCTCCTTGATGTTTCTCTCTCTCTTTCCCTCTCCATCACTCTCTCTCTAAAATCAATAAAAAAAAAATGTATTTAAATAAATGAAATTTAAAAAAAGAAGTGGGGCTTTGGGGGGGTGACTAAGTCATAAGGGTGGAGCTCTCATGAATGGCATTAGTACCCTTATAAAAGAGAACCCAGAGAGCTCTCTACCTCTTCCACCATGTGAGATTACAGTGAGAAGACACCTCTGTGATCTGCCAACAGGAAGTAGGCCCTCACCAGACACCAAATCTGTGTGTACCTGATCTGAGACTACACCACCTCTAGAGCTGTGAGAAATAAACATTTATTGTTTAAGCTATACAGTCTCTGGTTATTTTATTATTGCAGCCCAAAGAGACCAAGACAATAAAAGTGTTGATTTGACAGGAAGATACAACAATCCTAAACATGCATATATTCCAACAACATAGCTTCAAAATATATAAAGAAAAAAACAAACAGAAAACAGAGAAACCAGGAAATCATAGTGGGTGTTTTAATGTCTTAATGGCTGATAGAATAAGCAGACTACAAAAAAAAAAAAAAAATCAGTATCAGTAAAATCAGCTGAACGCATTAAACTTAATCTAACTTTACGTACATAGGACACTGCACACAATGGCATCAAAATTCACATTATTTTTAACTGCACATGGAATATTTACCAAACTGACCATACACTGGTCATTTAAAAAGTTTTAATTCAAATTGAAATTCACAATGTTCTCTGACAACAATGGCAGACAAAAACCAAAACAGAAAGATAATTAGAAAAAATGACCTACTGCCTGAGACCAAACAATATACTTCTAAATAATCCATGATCAAAGAATTAAAATGAAAATCAGAACATATTTTTATTGAATGATAATGAAGATACAGTATTCAAAAACGTGTAAGATAACGCTCAAGTAGTGATTAGAAATTTAATGTCTTAAATGGATATAAAGAAAGACTGAAACCTCATAAACCCATCTTATAAAACTAAAAATAAACAGCAAATAAAACCCAAAGAAAGTGGCAAGAAGGAAATATAGATAGAAGAAATAACTAAAATAACACACAATATACAATAGATAAAATCAGAGATATAAAGGTTGGTTCTTTGAAGACTCCTAAATTGAAAATCCCTAGACTGATCAAGAAATCAAGAGAAAACAAAGTATCAATATCAAGGGGCACCCTTTCAGATGTATTGATATAAATATAGAAAATTTGGATTACATGGACAAATTCTTCAGTCTATCAAAGCTGATAAAAGAAACATAAAAAACTGAAGTCTAATATTTATTTAAAAAACTAAATCTGATTTAAAAGTCTTCCTGCAAAGAAAACCTCAACCTAAAAAACTTCATTAATAAATTATTCCAAACATTTAAGGAATAAATAACACCAATTTATACAATACTTCCAGAGAAATGAATGAGATGAAACATTTCCCAAATACTTTTGAGATGGAAACCTTGATTATCAAAAACTCTGGGTTTTAAAGAAAAGAAAAATACAAACCAATCTCTTGCATGACCACAGATACAAAAATCCTAAACAAAGTGTCAGTAAATGAAATCCAGTAATAGATTTTTAAAAAGAGAGATAATGCATTACAACAAACTAGGACTCCCATCCCTGCCAAGAATACAAAGATGGATTAATATTCAAATAAAAATTAATCACATTAATAGAAAAAAAGGTCCTGGCCAGTGTGGCTCAGTTGGTTGGAGCGTGGTCCTATGCACCAAAAGGAGGCAGGTTCAATTCCAGGTCAGAGTAGGCACGCATACACACACAAAGGGTGAACTTTTATATAATCATGTTGATGCAGAAAAAGAACCTGATAAAATTCATTATCTAGTCATGATAAGGAAAAAGCTATCATTTCCAGATGATATGATTGTGTAGAAAATTCAAAACAACCTATAAACTCTTAGTAGTAACAGAATTTAGCAAGAAAATGAACATGTTTATAATTTTAAATTATATTTCTACATACATATATGAGTAACATACAAATAGAAAACAATTTTTTTAAATGCCATTCACGATAGCATTAAGAGACATCAAATATATAGAAATAAATCTAAAAAGAGACTGCTGAAAGTTACAATATTAGTTAAGATAAACTGAAATATAAATAAGTGGAGGTGCATACCACTTTCATGGATGGCAAGAATCAATACTTTGTAAAGATATCACATCTGGATGAAAGAAGGTAAAGAGATTTACCGAAGAACATATATGCACAGCCCTTGGACAAAGACAACAGTGGCTGGGGGTAGTGGGAGAGGGGGCTGGGTGGTGGTAGGTAAAGCGGGGGAGGGGAATGAGGGATATCTGTAACAGTGCCAACAATAAATAAATTGTAAAAAGATATCAAGTCTCTTAGAGTTGTTATACTGTAAACTTCAGATTCACCCAATCTGGTTCAAAATCATGGGTGGGGAAAGAGAAGGGAAAGTGGAGAAGCTGCTTCTAAAATTCATGTGGAAATGCAAAGGGTAAAGAATTGCCCAGGCAATGCTGAAACAGCAAGACCCATTATAAAGCTACAGTAATTAAGACATGGTGGTATTGGTGCAAACAGTCTAATGTAACAGAATACAGACTTCAGAAATGAGTCTATTTATTTGAACATACTCATGTTATTTATAATAAAAGTGAAACTGCAATGCTGAGGGAAAGGATGCTCTCTTCAGTGAATGGTACTAGGTCAATTATTTATTCACATGGGAAAAAATGGGTCTTGATCACTACCTCTCACTATACACAAAATCATTTCCAGATGAACTACAGACATAAATGTGAAAAGTTAAACAAAAACTTTTAGAAAATAATATATTAAAAAATATACTCAGAACTTGGGAAATTTCATAAATCACAGAAAGCACTTACCATCAAAAGAAAAAAAATGGATAAATTGAGTTATATAAAATTCAAAAATTCTATTTTTCAAATGATACCAATAAGAGAAAAATAAAACAACCCAGAGTGGAAGGATATTTGTATTTACATATGAGAAAGACTGATGTCTAGATATATAAATTAATAAAAAAGATAAACAATTCCATTTCTTAAAAAGATACAAATTTAACAATGAAGAAATCTAAGAAGTCAAACAAGAAGATGCTCAACTTCACTAGTTATCATGGAAATCAAATTAAAATAAAATTGATATATATATATATATACACATACACACACACACAAATGAAAATGGCTAACATTTCAAAATACTGACAACATAAATGTTAGTGAAGATGTAGAGCAATGGAGTCTCTCAAATACTGCTAGTATCAATTGGTAAACCAACTCTGGAAAAATGGGACATACCTATTAAAGTGGAAAATACACATAATCTATGACATAGTAACTCTACTCCTAAGAATATGTCCAATAAAAATGTATATATATGCTTACCAAAAGATGTGACTAGAATATTCATTACAGCTTTATTTGTAATTACCTAAAACTATAAACTCAAATGTCCATCAATACAATAGGTAAATTAACTGTGGTATATTTATACAATGGATATCTATACAATACAAAAATAAAACTGATAATGAATAAGCTTAACTGCATGCAATAGTTAAATCTCACAAAAATAATTTTAGTGAAAAAAGCCAGACACAAAAGGGCATAATATTTATGATTCTATTTATATGAAAATAGAAAAGCAAGCAAAAATAAACTGTGTTAAATGTCAAGATAGTGTTTACTCTTGCAGGACAATGAACTGGAAAGGGACTTGAGGGGACTTCAGGGTGCTAATGATGTTCTGTTTTTTTATTTCGATGGTGATTTTATAGGCATATTCAGTTTGTAAAAATTCACTAAGTAGTATACTTATAATATTTAATTACAGAAATCATGAAACATTATCAGTTGAATAATCCAATAAGTACTATAAACTCTAAAATTGCCTATTTTAGTCCCAATTTTTGGCCAATTAAATAAAAACTGAAAACAAACAAACAAAGGATGCAAGAAGTAGGAAAAAGGAAAGAGTAATAAGAAAAATAAGAGGAACTATATATATGAGTAAAGAGGAAGATTGAACACAAGAGGGGAAAAGAAAAAGTGAGGACTAAGTTGACTTAGGCTGAGGAATTGGGAAGACACCATGTTTGACAAAGGCATGCGGCTCAACATCTGAAATGTTTATGGGCTGTAGACCATTTATAGCTTTTAACAACTATGAGTCTAAATTATTTAGGATTCTAAACTCAATGGTAGAAAGAAGAAATCTTCTATGCTATAATAACAACTACAAAGTTAATGTCATTCTAGAGTTGAACAGTCAGGAATTAGAGATGACAAGTAATACTGACTCAAGTAATACTTATCACAGAGACTTGCAGACACAAATATTTAACTGTTTTAATATAGATGAATCCAAGAACAAATATTCTATATTAGATTTTTTTCAATTATATCCTTTGGGACAAGATTTTCTTTATTTTTAAGGACTAAAAGTCCTAAAATCAAGTTATTTCTACCAAGGAACATGTTTTTCATTTAATTTGGATAACAAACCTGCTTTAGGCTTCTTTTTCTTTTTTTTTGGTTTGGATTTTACGTCATCTTGCATGCTGTCTTCCACGTTTTGTGCCACAGTGGTTATTTCATCATGTTGATGATTATCTGAAGTAACTGGTCCAACTAGACTTTCCTTCTTTGGTTCACCTTCAACTGTGTCACCAAAGAGCAATGTACTGCAAATATAACCCAAGTACACGTCATTACCCATATATTATTATTATTATACATGCATTACCCATATATCACTATTATTATACATAATGCAGCAAAGTGAACAGTGAATAGAAGGATAATCCTAAAATCAATATTATTTTCAGCTAGGAGATATATATTTTTTCTTTTACATTAAAATGGTTGGCTGTCAAAGTAGGTATTCTGGGTATTATTTTATACTTGGTGATGAGTTATATACCCCAGGAATCAAATTAAAATGAACTTTAAACTCCAGGAAAAAATGCAGTTGTATTTTATGAGCAATGAATCTGTTTTTACATAGAAGTGATCAAAGATACTCACCTTGCTGTCAAGTAAATGATTAATGACCAAATTTCTCTTTTTAAAAAAATATTTTTTCTTTATTGATTTTAGAGAGAGAAAAGAAGAGAGAGAGAGAGAAACATCGATGAAAGAGATTATCAACTGGCTGCCTCCTGCATGCCCCCCACTGGGAATTGGGCCCACAACCTGGGCATGTGTCCTGACCGGGAAATCAAACCAGCAACCTCTTTGTGCATGGGTTGATGCTCAACCACTGAGCCACACTAGCCGGGCTTAATGACCAAATTTCTAAATTACTTCATTTAAAAACAAAAAATGCATTCTGTTTTTCAAAGGATTCTGATATTTAACCTTTGATTTCTAGGTAAAAATTAACTGCTCGTGTTTTCCAGTGGCTGATGTGGCATTACATTTTCAGAAGGCTACTTTTAAATTAAAATCTGCATCATATTAGCTAATAAGTGGTAACGGGGTAGCATTCCAGAAGCTAACAAAGTTATAGCAAGAAACTAGCCTTATTAAAGTTTGTTTGTCAAGTAAAAAATCTGCATCTAAGTAATTAAAAATTGACTTCCAATATATATAATCATATTTCAAAAAAGTTGAGAAATAAAAAGTTAGAGAAATATTTCAAATTAGTCATTTCAGAAAGCCATATTTTATCATATCATCAAATACTATTACTTAAAGAGTATGTCACTCTTTGCAAGTCACTCTCATGTAAGCCATGGTTTTATTTAAAATTCATGAACTAAATTTATTTTAAAAATATTTTTATTAATTTTTTTAAAGAGGAAGGAAGGGAGAGGGAGAGAGAGAGAAAGAAACACCAATGTGAGAGTGAAACATCAATTGGTTGTCTCCAGGGATCTGGACCACAACCTGGGCATGTGCCCAGACCAGGAATTGAACCTGCAAACTCTCAGTGTGCAGGATGTCACTCAGTAACTAACTGAGCCACACTGGCTAGGGCCATGAACTAAATTTATTTAATAGAGAGTATGGCTTCCCAATTCATATGGTAGCTATAAGGAGAAAATGTATAATATGCTGTGGTGAACAGCCTCTAAATGGCCCCTAATAATCCCTGCCTCCTAATATTCATAGATTTGAGTAATCCCCTTCCTTTAATACTTCTAATAAACAAGACTATGACAAAACTAATAGATGCTATGAATAAGATTAGGTTCTAAAAGGACTATGAATTTTCTCTTTCTCTTCCAGATCCTGCTCTGGAGAAGCAACTACCCACTGTTGTAAGTAGCCCACATTAATAGGTCCATATAGCAAGAAACTGATGTCCCTGGGCAAAAGCCACTCAGAACCTGAGACCTGCCATCAGTCACATAAATGAGTTTAGAAGTGGATCTTCCAACAGCAATGTTACTTGGCAGATCCTCTCCTAGCCCTCCAATTCTTGAGATGACTAACATCCTAAAGCTAGCCTATGAGAAACTCTGAGTCAGAGATACCCAGTCAAGCTACACCCAGATTCATTTTTCACAAAAATTATGAGGCAATAAATGTTTGATGTTTTAAGCTGCTAAATTCTGGAGTTGTTGTTTTTTGTTTTTTTTTTAAATGCAGCAACAGATAACTAATAAATATACTAACATGTCCCTGTAGCAACTCTATTTGCCCTCTCTGTTATCACTAGTTGTCTAATTTTGATAAGAGGGAAATTATTTTTAGATGAGGACATTAGGAAAAATTGACCCTTGTATGTCAGGCAACAGTCAAATATAGAATGTTCCCACCTCAAGTTGTTTACCTAAATATGGATTACAGAAAACAAATTATGGTAGTTAAAGGACATTTTTTATTTTGTTTTTCCCAAACTGAGACATATTTATATGAATATATGCACAGTTCACACTGTATATGCATGCATATATATAAGCACCATATACAGAAAAAGAGTAGAATACCCAATTGCTAATAGTGATTACCTCTGGATGACTGGATTACTTTTATTCTTTGTTTCTGCATGTTCTACAATGACCAAATGCTATCTGTATAATAAGGAAAAAATGCTCTATTCACATATCCAAACAGGCATTTATAACTAAAAAAAGGGGTGGGGGTGGGGGTAATTTGGTTTCTATTGTTTATAAAGCAGATGTGAGTGAGTACTTAAGGGTAGAGACTTTGGAGCAAGACTGCTAAGGTTCTGGCTCAGCTTCTTACTGGCTCTGTGACATAAACCCTTCAGTTTCCTCATCTACAAAAGATAATATTACTATTTCCCATCAGGTTGTTATAAGGAATAAACAAGTTAATTCTTATAAAGCATTTAGCACATAGTAAGGTTAGCTGTTATTATTGTACTGGCAATGTGTCCAAATGCAAGTCTTAAAATTTTCTTTGTGAAACTACAGATATCACTTAAAAGCATAAAATAAGTTTTTTTTTTTAAAAGAAAACATTTTATATTTATCAATGTAAGGTACCTTGTTTTAGCATTGGACAGGATTGGAGCTTTCTTTTTCTTCTTTTTTCTTTTTTCAACAGTCAATTTGTCATGCAAGTAAGTATCTGAGGGAAAGTAAGTCAACTGTTCTTTGAGTTTCTTTCTTATTTTCTTCTTAATCTCCTTTGCCATTTCTTCAGCTACCTGGAGCTGGTATACTTGCTTCAGTTCTTCCTCATCTAAATTATTTCCTTCATTTACCTTCTCACTTTTCTGATGAGCAAAACCGGGCTGTGACAACATCCGTACTTTTTGATGTACATAATCCACCTTCTTCTCAGGAGTTTCCTGTTCCATTTCTTGTGTAGTCGCGTGGCACACTGTTTTTGTAACCTTCTTATTTTCCTTCTCTTGCTTGTCTTCCTCTACACTCCCATCATCATCTGGATTTTCAGCTGTTGACTGAGGATTGCTTGGTTTGTTCTCAATGACTCGCATGCTCTTCTTTGGGTTACTAGTGTTAGTAGCAATTATCTCATTACTTTTAGTTTCTCTATTTTCTGAAGATTGCTTCTAACAGCATCAAGCTAGGAAGACACAATAACAAAGTTGCAGCTAAGCACAGTTTAGTTATATAAAGATAGAACACAATGGTTAATGTTCAAGAATGTGTAATATTGGAAAAATTATTTCATTTTTTACTTGAACATAATGACATTCTAGAGAATGTGATAAACACTCTACTAGTTCATTCTCCCAGCATTAGAACAGTAATCTCTGAGGGTAACTGCTCATACAATGAGTTAATAAACATGTGGAAAAGTACTCAGTGACTTTTTTGTTGTTGTCGTTGTTAATCCTTACCTGAGGATATTCTTCCACTGATTTTTAGAGTGGAAGGGAGAAAGGGGAAGAGAGGGATACACTGATGGGAGACACACATCAACAGGTTGCCTCCCACATGGCCTCAACCAGGCCGAGAATCGAAATTGCAACTCAGGTAGGTGCCCTTGACTGGGAATCAAACCCAAGACCCTTCAGTCCTTGGGCCAACACTCTAACCATTGTGCAAAACCAGCCAGGGCCTTAATGACTTTTAAAAAGTTAATTAATCGCTCAAATTTCAACTGCTATTCCCTCTTTGGCAGAATGATCCATACCCTAATGAAAAAAAGTTGGTAAAAGAGCCACTCAGCTAACGTGCTTTAGGTGTCCCATCAGAAAACACCTACAAGTTATTTATCTTGTGTTATAATCACATTCTAAAACCAAAAGTCTGTAGTCCTAGGATCACCCTGCAATTAGTCCAGATGTATTATGGAAAATACTGCTATGTGTTAAATATTACCAAGTTAAATCAAATGACAGACTAAGTACATACCTGTACCTCTTTCCCCAATAAAAATGATTTAAAATAAGATATTTTAATAGAAAAAAAGCTAGGAGTCAAAAAGAAAGATTACTAGTAATAAAATAAATATTTTGAGAAATTCCTGAAGGATAAAAATAGGCAGGATTAAATCTATTAAGAAACTTCCAGAGAAAACCACAACCCTTAGGGAAAGACTTCTCCAGAGAAAAGGGTGCTTCTGGAGAAGCCATGTACTCAGAGCTAAGAAATACAAAGTGAAGGAGGGTATAAGCCTAGGATGGCCAATTGAAGAGTTGGGAGGGACAAGTCTGTTCCCCACCTCCATTTGTGTTAGATGGTGACTTTCACTCAAAGGATAAAGCAGCTGAGCAGAGAGATGGCAGAATGCTTCAGGTAGGTACAGTTTTCACCAACAGCAGAAGCTGACTATGTTGAACACAACCAACAGGCAGTAGGGAGACAGAGACTTACTTAGAAAAATGACTAGACAACTAAAACTAACAAACACTGAAGGAAAGTAGCACAATGAAGAAAAAGTCACCAAATCCAATAAAACAGAAATATTAACAATGAAGGAAAATGAATAGCATAAACAAAATAAGAATTTAAAATAACTGTGATTAACACCATAAAAGAAACTCCAAAACATAATGGGTGTAAAAACAAAAAACACTGCAGATGTTAGAATTAAATAAAAGTTTAAGATATGTGTTGAAAAAAAGAATGGACAAAACCGAAGTGCTGAAGATGGACACCAATATCAAAATGAAGAATTTGCCCAGAAATGCATGGGCTTATCAATAAAAACTGAAGTTCACTGATTAATGCCCCCCACCCCCATACACACCTCCCTTCCTTTCTCTAAAAATCAATAAAAGCATATTCTTGGGTGAGGGAAAAAACAACTGATGTTCGATTTTTGAAAATCCCCAGGTTTAAAAGTATTTAGAAAATATCTAATATATGTGAAGACAGGAAAATAACTAGTATCCCAATATACAGGGTATGGCAAAAGTAGGTTTACAGGTGTTCGTATAGAAAATACAATAACTAATAATAGTACAAGAATAAACTCTGTTTCGTGTACTCACAACTGTAAACCTACTTTGCCACACCTTGTATATTATTTTACCATCTCTAACACTCTTTTGATTACTTAAAATATATTTCCAAATTCTATTTATTCAAGGATGAATTATGAAGCTGAATCCTCAAAAAGAAAAAAACTTCCCTAATTAAATCTAGTAAAAATGAATTTTCTTTAAAAAAAAATTATTTCACGTTGTTTGTAGAAGCAATATATGCTTTAGTTAAAACAGTAAGAAACAAAAAATTAAAAATACAAAACAACAGAAAATACTTAGAGAAAAAGAAGACACCAAGCTCAGCCCTGGTTACCTCACATGAGAAAATTCACTGCTAATCTTTTCAGAACTTTATTTTTGTCTTGTCTATGAATATATAGTCATTCCTAATAAACTTGAATTTCCATTATGTTAAAATGGGGCATATGTAAATTTTTCTTTCTACTTTCTCAGTGAGTACCAAAAATGTAGTGGCAATGTTTTACAAACTGTGAGGAAAGTAATGAAAGAAATAGTTGGAAGAAGTCAAGAATTAGAAACAGAAAAAAGAACTATGTTCTAGAAGAAAAGATTTAAAAAAGAAAACCATTGGAAAGCTAATCAGATGGTTTTAATTACTGTCATCCACTGATCCATCAACTTCTCTATTAATAGCTTCATCTTAATTTTATAGTGTGACTTTATAGTCATTATCTGCTTTTGCTTTATTCAATTAACTTTTTAAAACCATTGCAATAAATACAATTCCCAAAATATCTTTGGTAGCATCCCATATGTTTCACTTATATTTACTTTTTAAAAGATCATGTTTTCGTGGTTTTGATTTTGTCTTGATAGTAGCTTTATGAGATAGTTTTTAAATTTTTAAGTAGTTTATAAATATTAAACTTTTATTACTAATTTCTAGTTTCACTGTACTATTATATAAAAAAAAAAAGGTCTACTTTATGGAATTTAATAGTCTCCCAGATCAGATTATGACTGAATGCTGAAGTGTCCCAAATACACTTGTTCATGTTCAATTATATCTTTGTGCATCCTTTTTATCTTTACCTTCTGAATATCACTTAGGATTTTGGCTTAATTCCTTTGTTTTTTTTAAATCACCTATGTTGAAATATGACTTACATATAATAAAACTCACCAATTTTAAATGTATAATAAACAAACTTTGGCAAATGTGTACATGTATGTGACCACCATATCGTGATATTAAAGATTTCCATCACTCCACATGATCTTTTACAAAGTCAACCCCTTTCCCCAGCACCAGCACCAGCCCCTGCCATGTCCTGGCCCCACTCAGCCTACTATCATTACAGTTTTGTCTTTGCCTAGCATTTAATAGAATCATCCAGTATATAGCCTTTTGTGTCTGGTTTCCTTCCTCAGTATAAAGCTCTGAGATTCATCTTTATTGTCGCATGCACAGTTTATTTCTTCTCATTGCTGAGCAGTATTTCATTGTGTGGATATATACTACATTTTATTTTTCCATACTGAACATTTGAGTTATTTCCAGTTTTGCACTATTGTTTTTGTTTCTCTTGAGTAAATACCCAAATGCTGTCCTATATGGTAAATAGATGTTTAACTTCTTAAATAACTGCCAAACTGCTTCCCAAAGTAGCTATACTATTTTGCATTCCCAAGTGCATGAGTTCTAGTTTTAACATTTTTGTCAGCACTTGGTGTTGTCAATGTTCACTTTTCAGTTGTTCTAATAAGTGTGTAATGGTATCTCACTGTTGTTTTAGATTTCATTTCCCTAATTACTAATGACATTAATTTTCACATGTGTTATTTGCCATCTGTATCTCTTTTTTGGATGAGTGTTAAAAACTTTTGCCCATTTTCATTTGGTTATTTTCACATTACTGAGTTCTAAGAGTTCTTAAAATATTCTAGATACCCTGTCATATAGCGTTACAAATATTTTCACTCAACCTTTAGCTTATCTTTTCATTTTCTTAGTAGCGTTTTGAATTTTCACAAATTCTAGTTTATCCCCTTTTTCTTTTATGGTTTATGTTTTTGTATCCTGAGAAATCTATTCATAAAGGTTAGGAAGGATTTATCCTATTTCTTCTATAAGTTATATAGTTTTAGTGCTTATGTTTAAGTCATTGATCCATTTACATTTAATTTCTAAACATGATTTAAGACTAGAATTTACATTGTATATAGATATCTGATTGTTTGAGCACCATTTGTTGAAAACCATTATCCTTTTCTTCACTGAGTTACCTTGGCACTTTTGTCAAGATACAATTGACCATATACATTTGAGTCTATTTCAATACTCTAAGTTGCTCTATAGCTTTATAGTAAGTTTTGAATTAGTCAGTAAAATTCCTTCAACTTTGTTCTTTCTTATAATTGTTTTTGCTTTCCAGGTCCATTATTTAAATTTCTAAATAAATTTTAATTATATTTTCAATTATTTTTATTTAATTTACTTTATTGAGTATTAGAGGTGTTCCCCCTCCCCCCCCTTTGCCCCTCTCTACCAAGCTCCCACCCCACCCCATTTCTTCATCTGTCTATTGTCTATGTCCATGGGCTACGCATATAGGTTCTTTGATTAATCTCTTCCTGCCTCCTCTGAGATCTGTCAGTCTGTTCCATACTTCCATGTCTATGATCCTATTTTGTTCGTCAGTTTATTTTGTTCATTAGATTCCACATATAAGTGAGATCATGTGATATTTGTCTTTCTCTGTCTTATTTCACTTAGCATAACAATCTCCAGGTCCATACCTAATGTCTCAAAGGGTAAGAGACCCTTCTAAAGACTAAATAAAAACTACAAAAGAGGCATGACAAAGATTCAAGGATGATTTTCATGTTTCTGGAAACAGAATAATTAAAACAGTAGTATCACTAACTGGAATATAGTGCATTATAGAAGTATAGTGGAGTAGTTCAAAACCCAAGGCCTGGAATTTGTCTCCCATGGCTATTTGTGTGACCTCAGGCAATCTGTTGCCTCACCTGTAAAATCAGTTCACCAGCACCTACTCAAAGGGTTGCTGTAATGGTTGAATGATTTAGAACAGTGCCTAGAACAAGCATCAATAAACATTAGCTACAACTGTAATTGATACTTCCTATGGGGATACTCAGTGAGTTCAGTAGGTATGTTAAGCTGGATATCTGAGGGGGCACTAAGCAGACTGGCTCCACTGTCAGATCTCTGGATTCAAGTGTCAGTTGTACCACCAGATTAATCTCTGTGGACCTCTATTTCCTAATCTTTCAAATAGTAATAAACTATGCATAGGGTTTCTGTAAAGAATAAACAAGAATACGAAAATAAAACAGCCCAATGCCTAGAGTATAGCAAGCCTTTAAAAAGTGATAGCTATTGCCCTGGCCAGTTTGGCTCAGCGGTTAGAGCGTCGGCCTGCGGTCCAGAGACCCTGGTTCGGTTCCCGCTGAGGGCATGTGCCTCAGTTGCGGTTTGTCCCCGGCCCTGGTTGGGTTGTGAGGGTGGCAGCCACTTGGTGTGTTCCTTTCACGTCGATGTCTCTCTCTCACTCCCACTCTATCTGAACAAAATATAAAAAAAAAGAAAGAAAAAAAAAAGTGAAAGTTATTCTTACTCTATATATACGTGTGTATGTATACTATAATCAGATTGTGCTTGGTAGGCAAGAGAATACAGGCACACCTTGTTTTATTCCATTTGCTTTATTGTGCTTTTTTAAAATATATGTTTTTATTGATTGTTTAAAAAGAACGATAGAAACATCCATGCGAGAGAGAAACATCAGCCACTTCCTGCACGCCCCCAACTGGCGACCAAGCCTGAAACCAATTCCATGTGCCCTGACCAGGAACTGAACCGGACCTCTAAGTCCATGGGACAACGCTCAATCCACTGGTCCACACCAACCGGGTCCAGATGTGCCTTTTTTTTTTTTTTTTTTTACAAATTAAAGACAAGATCCTCCACCAGCAAAAACATACAATTACTTTACTGCAATGCTTGCTTTATCGTGGTGGCCTAGACTACACCTCCAGTACGTATCTTCGAGGTATGCCTGTATAGTAATCCAGCAAGATTAGGCTGAAGGTTGGGGCATCATTTATATCTGTGATGGTTGCAAGAAAAAAAGCACTAAATACAGAGAACTCTGGGATCCCACAAAAAAAAAAAAAAAAAAAAAAAAAAGAAGAAGGAAAAAGACTGAGAGAGAGGTGATAAATTGGGAGAATTAACCAAAGGGAAAAAAGAGGTTTAAGAAAAAAGTGATCTATAAAACAACAATGAGGTATCACCTCACACCTGTGAGAATGGCCGCCATCAACAAATCATCAAACAACAACTGTTGGCGAGGGTGTGCAGAAAAGGAGACTCTAGTGCACTGCTGGTGGGAATGCAGACTGGTGCAGCCACTATGGAAAACAATATGGTGTTACCTCAAAAAAATGGAAAATTGAACTTCCATTTGACCCAGTGATCCCACTTCTAGGAATATAGCCTAAGAAGCCTGAAACACCAATCAGAAAGAATATATGTACTCCCATGTTCCTAGCAGCACTATTTACAATAGCTAAGATCTGGAAACAGCCCAAGTGTCCATCAGTAGATGAATGGATAAAAAAGCTGTGGCACATATACACATTGGAGTACTATGCAGCTGTAAGAAAGATCTCTTATCCTTTGAGACTACATGGAGGGACCTGGAAAGTATCATCCTAAGTGAAACAAGCCAAGCAGAGAAAGACAAGTTTCATATGATCTCACTTATTTATGGAATGTAATGAACATAACAGTCTGAGGAATGGGGTAGTCCCAGAGACATGGAAGTGGGGTACAGATTGACAATCCCCAGAAGAGGTGGTGGTGGGGGGAGATAAACCACAGAACTTATATGCATGTATGCATGAAGAGTGGACATGGACAACAAACTGGGGACAGGGCAGGGAGGGAGGGGGAGGGGGTAATCAGTGAGGGAAAAAGGAGAAACATCTGTAACAAAAATCAATTAATAAATAAAAAAAGAAAGAAAAAAGTGATCTATACTGTGTGGTACCAAGAATTTCTGCACGTTTTAAAGAGAGTTCAGTGGATCTGTAATCAGAAAGTCACATGTGCAAAGTCACGGGTGGAGGAATGAATGAAAGGTGAGATCTATAGAAGAAACATAAATAATTGTTTCTGGACTTCTGCTTCCTGTCTTCCCCCACCCCCAAAGACAGTGACATGAGGCAGTAGCTTTGAGACAAAAAATCAGTGGAAGGATTCTAAAATACAAATGTTATAGTATCATTTCTTCATTTGAAACTACTAATATGAAGTCCTTATCAGTGGGGACCTAAGGCTCTTTATGAAATGACCCCTTGCCTTTCTTCCCATGCCCTTCTCTAGCCACACCTCTACACACATACTGTGCTCTAGTCATTTGAAACTACTTGCAGCCCTCAAATGTGCCAAACTCTTGCACCTCTCTTTCCTGAGAAATGCCCTTCATCCCCTGTCCCTCTACAAATTGTCTAAGTATCCTCTGACACAAAATGCAATTGGTATCTCCTATGGAGAGCACTCCAATCTTGAAGGGCAATTAAATACTTCTCTGTGCTTCCACAGTGCCTTGCTCTTCATACCTCCCTCTAGCTGGTAAGATGTTCTGTGGTCCCCACCGAACTGCTAGCTTTTTGGAGGGCTAGACCTATATTCTCTTCATATATGTATTTCAATTTTTAAAAGAGGTGGCGGTGCCAGTAAGAATGGGTCTACGGTCAAAAAGAACTTGTTCTGCTACTTACAGAACGTGTGGTAGGCAAGCTACTTAGTATCACTAAAGCTAGTTTCTTGTTTTTTTGCCTGAGAAATTAAAATGCTACCTACTGTATTGTAAAGAGAATAGGAAATACTGAAAAGCAAAGTGATCAGCACAGAAGCTGGCCAACTGTAGGTGCTCAAGAAAATTACTTTATGTCCATTACTACAATATTAAAATAATTATGTGATAGAATACATTAAATAAATCATGTATTTACATTATTTGCTATTTAGTATTTTAATGTACAACTGGTAAACATTTATTAACAACACAGCAAATACATTACAGAAACAATCATCTCTAAATACTACAGCAAAAACATTATAGAATGACCAGTATTTGATTAGTAACATCAACGGCAAAAATTTAAGTCGGAGTTAAAAGGACATTCCTGAACCTCACATATGACATTATTTTAAATCTTCTCCCTCACAACCCCTTTAACAGGTGCTGTTAAGAGATACTATATAAGAAAATTAACTGCATTCCATTTCATCTCATTTTACTTTTTCTCTAACCACCTGATTATTAGCTAATGTATGACTAAAGATCAACGGGAGAAAAAGCTGTGAGACGTCAATTCTACCTACAGCACAGAGGGGGAAAAAAAGGAAACAAAACCCTTATACAAAATTCAATTAATAAATCAACGATAGTCTACATAAATAAAGAAGATTCTAAATATGGCTGAAAAATACTCTTGGTATTTGAATTTATTTCAAATATATATTCTGTTAATTTCCCATAGTCCTAAAAATACGCAGTCTTCTTCCTGAAAGCCGAAGCAGTAACAGCAATCATTAATGCAACAGGTGAAAAAACTGTTAGCATCCTTTCCTCAAAAAAACAAAACCACAAAGAAACGTAAAGAAAAATACATATATTTCAATCGACAGATGTTTCACAGTAGATATTCTTCAACTGTCTACCTTTTTCTATATTTATACATATCGAAAAGACCCTACTAACCTAATTTGGCTTTTTTCTTACAAATGAAACGCATCGATCACCTTTTCGCAGATGTAATTAACAAGGCATTCACAGGTTCAATTATCAGCACCAGGTTGACATCCTAAAAGAAAATAAACGTACTTACTACGCATCTGATTTAAAAGCGTTTAAATCAGAAGCAGGAGTAGAAAAGCAAAGATTGCATTCACTCCGGGGCACCTTGCTGATCACTCCGAGGAGCCCAGGGAAAGGAGCGGAAACACACGTATACTTCCCCCAAACCACATCCCTCCGTTCGGCGGCGCTGGGCAGGTCAGCCGGCAGAGTCTTGCCGCCGCCCCTGCGCCCACGGACCCGAGCAGCCCCCACGCCGCCGCCGCCGCCCACGAGCGGGACAGGCCGAGTGCGTGGGCCTGGGCTCCGGCACCAGCGCGCCTGCTTTGTACTCACAGGGAGGAGACGCAGAGCGGACAGCCCGTCCCGCTGGATCCCACGCCGGGGCTATGAGAAGCGGCCTCCCGGTCCGGGAGGGTCGGGCTGGCAGTTTGGCAGCCACAAGCCGCCAGGAACTCCGGCTCCTAGAGCTGGCCGGTGCCGCAATGCGGCCAGCGCGCCGCCCGCTGACGTGAGCACCCGCCTACGCCGCCGTTCCCTTGACAACCGAGTTGGCCCGGCCTGGACCGCTGCCCTGCCTCGGCGCCCGTCGCGGCCCCGCCCCCGTGCCGCCTACGCCGGGCCCGAAAGTTCCGCAGTGCGGCGCTGGCGGGAGGGGCGCGCGCGCCCGGCGGTCCTAAGCCTGCGGCGGGTGCGCGCTCCGGGGGCCGCGCGCCGCGGGGCTCCAGCAGTCCCGCGAGGGAAGGGAGTCCGCTCCGGCTGGAGCGGGAAGGCGCCCCGAGAATGCGGAGGTGCCCCTAGAGCCTGAGCTCACCCCGGAAAAGCACCTCAGAACTGTAGCCAGCGCTGGGAAACACGGGACGGCGCGAAGCGAGCCGGGGCGGCTGTGGTGGAACCCGCCGAAGAAAAGAAACACGCTTGAGGGAAAGAAACAGACTCGACACCCCCACACGCTCGCACCCACAAAAGGAAACATCCTTTAAGCGTGCGGAATGAAGAGTTGTACTACCACGAGTCGTCGGGGGCTAACTTATCTCACTACGTGCTTCAAGCAGAACGAAACGGAGAACTCCCCCGCTTCTCCGCCCCGCGGCCCCTCCCGCGCGCTGATCCTGCGGCAGGCGCCATCTTGACGGAGTCGCCGCGGGGGACCGGGCCCGCCGGCTCGCTCAGGCCTGCGGAGTCCTGCTCGGGCTGCGACCTGTTGCTTCGTTTGTGCAGTGAGAGCGTTCTGCGTATTTATTTGGAGGCCAGCTTTTCCATTCCCACTGGCATCACCATACTTTACAAAACGTATCTCATTTGGGTCTCCAAGTCCTGTGAAAAGACAGATTACCAACCCAGGTGCTTGTCGAACTGAACTGGTCCCCTTTCCACTCAAAACGTCTCTGGGTTTCTAGCTTGCTTTAAGTCGCCACCATCCCCCCAGTATTGTAGTTAAGACACCCGTGGAGCGTCCTAAACACCAAAAAACGTCCATTCTACGTCGATGACATCCCCAGTGTGTAGCTTATCCATCTTCACGCCCACTGTCTAATGCCAGCCTCAGGGCTTCTCACGGGGGTTACTTTGCCAGGGCCCCTGTTGACCCCTGAATTCCAATCTCCACATGCCTGACCAGAAAGACCTCACTAAAACTGTAAATCTGATAGTGCCATTCTCCTGAAAATTCTTAAGTGATCTGTAGGAGAAAACTACTTATTTTGCCAAGGATACAAGACACTTGGTCTCCCTAATTTGATTTCTCATTGCCTCGTTTCAATTTTATGCTTCAGCAATATTAAAGTAGGTGCACCATAACAATCGATATATTTTCATGCCCTAGTTATTGCACACATGGTCCCCTTTCCCTGGAAATCCGTCCTTGTAAACTTCTACTTCTGTATGTCTCAGCCTAAATGTCCATCCTTTGAATCTTAGCTAGGTTGACTAATTCCTCTAAACCCTCCTGCTATATAATATATCCTGTTATGCTTTGGACACTCATTCTATAAAATATTTTCATACACTTATTATTTTTTAAATATTTTTTCTTTATTCATTTTAGAGAGAGAGATAGAAACATGGATGAGAGAGAACATGAACTGGCTGCCTCCTGCATGCCCCGCACTGGGGATTGGGCCCACACCCTGGGTATGTGCCCTGACCAGGAATGGAAATGGTGACCTCTTGGTGCATGGGTCAACACTCAACCAGTGAGCTACAATGGCTGGGCTATAAAATATTTTAATCGTTTGCATTGTACTTTAATTTTTCTAGCCCCAGCTTCAACCATAGTATCTATCAAATAGTTGGTACTTCATGAACATTTGTGAATGAGTAATAGATGACATACAGGGGGTGGGCAAAAGTAGGTATACAGTTGTGAGTAAAAAAAAAAGTTTATTCTTGTATTATTATTTATTAATTATTATATTATTTATTTGTATTACAACTGTTAAACCTATGTTTGCCCACCTCTGTATTGAACTCCCTCTTGGAGCTGTGCATTATAGGTGTGTAATGTACTTTTCATCTCTCCTTAGAACTGTGATGTAAGTACTTACTTTTATAAAGAGAGCTAACAACTCTGGCTGCACATCCTTAGCTAGGTATTATTGTCATAAAACATTCCCCAGTTTATCAGACTGGCTGAAAAGTACACCTGTTGTCATCTCTTGCCTGGACCTTTACACCTTTGCAGAGGTGTACTTGGAGTGGGGTGGGAGGTGGCAGGGAATGTTTCATAACAGAAGTAACATTTAAAAATATATAGAGCCCTGGCCAGTGTTGTTCAGTGGTTAGAGCATTGGCCTGCACCCCAATCCCCAGCCCCAGTCAGGGTGCATGCAAGAGGCAACCAATGGATATGTCTCTCTCATATGGGTATATCTCTCTCTCTCTCTTTCTCTCTCTCTTTCCCTCCCTCCCTTCCACTCTCTCTAAAAAACATCAATGGAAAAAATATCCTCAGGTGAGGATTAACAAAAAAAATAAAAATATATAGAGTTGTCCAGGTTGGGAAGGGTTTCTGGGTTGAAAAAGGTGGGGTATAGTGCTGATTAAAAGAAAGCTTGACATAATCCAAGAACTGAAGTAAATTCAGCATGATGAAAAGTCAAGAATGAAGCTAGGGGCTTTGGGAGAAAGTAAGACAAGAGAGGTAAACCAAGTTATGAAGAGATCCAGACAGTATTATAGGGTCAATGAAATACCACTAGAGGGTTTTAATCATGGAGTAAAATGGTCAACTTTTAATTTCAGAAAGAAATTTTGGCTGCAGTGTGGAAAATGGAGGCGAAGAAAGCAAATTTAGATACAGGGATATGAGGTAAGATGCTGTTATTGTAAGCCATGTAGAAATCCAAGATCATGTGTCGGCAGGATTGGTTTCTTCTGAGGCCTCTCTCCTTGGTCTTTAGAAGGCTGCCTTCTCTTACTCGCTCTGTCTGCTCATAGCCTCCCCTCTGAACTTGTCTGTCCTTATCTCTTCTTAGAAGGACATCAATCATATTGAATTAGGGTCCACCCTAATGACCTAATTTTAACTTAATTATCTCTTTAAATTATCTTCAAATGCACTTACATTATGAAATACTGGGGTTTAGGAGTTCAACATGTGAATTGTGGGGGAACAAATCAGCCCATAACACTGCTGGAGTAAGATCCTGAAGGCAAAGCAGAATGTAAGGAATGGTTCTTGTTTTGATTCTCGTTCTGCACAAATCAACTATATAAAGACATGTTGTAGGCAATCAGATTTTTCAAAATGAGCTTTGTATGAGTTATTAAGGAATCTTTGTTAATTTCTTAATAGATGAAATAATGGTATTGTGGTTATATAAGAATATGATTTTTTTAAAAGTACATAAAATAGATTGGCAAGACGTCCCCCCACCACCAAGAGAAAAAACAGATTTTGAAAAGATGATGCATGTATATCTAAAATTTGGTGATGTTGAAGCTGGTTGATAGATAACTGGTATTTTTACTTTTTCTTTGTGTCTATAAATTTTCATAGTAAACAGGAATAAGAAAAGTAGGAAAACTCATATTACAGAGAATTTGAAAGATATAGCACCAGGAGAAAAGGAAAAAGTACCCTGTACCACTACCCAAAAAGAATCTGTATCAGCTTTTTGGTGAACTTTTCAGTCTGTTTTCATGCATATTCTAATTTTGGTCATACCATATCTAAGATGCTTATTTCTCCTTTTATGAATTAACAGTATGTTATAATTTTATTTCCATGCAATTATATATGCATATAAACTTCATTAAAAATTCTAACTTTGTTAATAGTGTTCATATGTGCTCATAGTAAAAATTCAAACAATCATCCAGATGCTTGTAATGTAGAAACTGAAGGCCTGCCATATGTTAATTATTGATATATCTTTTATACAGTCTTCCAGACTTTCTTTCATATGTATATAGTAGACATACTAAATTATAAAGATGATTTCATACTAGAGTTTTTGTCCCACCACCTTTTTTGTCTTTGTCAAGTATTATTATCCTGAAAGGATTTTATGTCAGTAATATATATCTATCTTAATAATTTTAATGGCTTCATACTATAACATTTCTGTTTCAGAGGTTTTTTTTTTTTTTTTTTTAATCAGTTATAATAAAAATGCCAAAAGGTGATGTGGGTGTTTTTTTTTTTTTTTCATGGAGAGCTTTTATATAAATCTCTCATACCATTATTAAATTTATTACTCAGTATTTTATATAATTTTGGTGCTCTTGGAATGTAGTAACTTTTTTTACTGTATTTTCTAACTGATGATTGCACATTTTCCTGCTTTTCCCCCTTCTAGGTCTCTTTTGCTAGTTTTTGCTAATCTCCTTGATCTCTTGACACTGTAGTTTCCCAGAGGTAACTTTTGGGACCTCTTTTCTATCTGCACTTACTGGGTTGGTGATCTCTTCAAGTCTCTATAGTCCCATTGTCATACAGACTACTCCCAATTTATCTCACCAGCCTTTTCTTCTTTCCTGAACTTCATTCAGACTGAACTTCACCTGTATGCTAGATATTTCCACTTAGATGTCTAATAGGCATCTCAAACTTAACTTTTCTGACACTGAACTACTAATCTTGGCCTCCTCAAACAAACTCCACTTGAAGCTTTCTTTGTCTCACATAGTGACAGTTCCATTTTTCCAGTAACTCAAGCCAGACACTAAACACCTTGGAGTAATCTTTGACCTTTCTCCTTTCTTATACCCCATCCATATAAAACCTATTAGGTTAGTCTAGATTTGAATCCAAATTCCATGTAAAAGAGGCTATATTTATAATTTGGAGGGGAGATTGTCTTTTTTCTCTACCCAAATTTTAACCCAGACATTCAAGCCTCCTTGTGTCCTTTTGCTGGTGTAGAGTTTTGAAGATTCCAGTTTCATGTGAAAATCTAGTCCCTACACTGAACAAGGCCTCATAGCCTCTGTTTTGGGAAGCCATTGCATTCTAGGACTACATTTAAGGT